TCTTAGTCAATTCGTTAATGGGCGTCGTAGCCTTTCCGAACGCCGTCCGTTCTCCTATATCGCGCTAGTTGCGTTCCTGAAGGACGCCGCGTTATAATCAATAATACAGTCCGTGATAACACGTGAGATGCGTACGCAGGCCGAACAGACTGAGGGCACGTGGGTAGCATCTAGAAGCATCCAGCAGCATCCCAATGCCTTGTGCGACGCTACGCCGAGGCATCCGCACAACCGCTTATTCCTACTTGCGCGACGTCGTTCTCTTCACTCAACCGCAGTTATATTTAATTTGCATCCGCATTTTTAAAAGTGTGTCACCTAATACATTTGTTACGTTTTATTCAAGTCGCCTAATGATCGCACGCGTTACAGGAGAACAGATTGTATGTGTGTGTTGAACTTTCGCAACATACGTAGCCAACCGTGCAAATCGGAGGTGCAGGGGAAGGACAACAAACTAAACACAAAAAGCAGTTCTAAAGAAATGAGTTTTCAAATTAAATGTAAAATTGCATAGCTCCAGTGGCCTTCTAATATCGGAGGGAAGAGCATTCCAGACGGCCGCAGAAGCGCACCTGAAAGCGCACGATGCGGTGACCGTCTTTGCTCGACGGTTTGCCAAAAAACGCTGCGAGGATGACCGGAGTTTCGTAAAGGTGGCAGTGTGTTCTCTTTTGAGCTTTGTTTTCCGTCAGAGACCAGAGTAGCACCGCCTATAATGCCTGTCATTGGGATCATTGGTCAACGACTGTTGAAATGGCAAGATATCGATGTAGACAAGTCCCCGTGGCGATCTGATCGGAAACGTTGAAAACATCTGTCTCCAAGGCGTGTTTGCCAGCAGTCTTCCCAGTGTAATCGGGGCCACGGCGTCAGTCAAACCAGATAAGTCCATGCGCACGTGTGGACCCGTGATGCATCACAAATGATACCTCTGGTGCTCTGACTGGCTGTGCCCTGCGGTTGCACGTGCTGTGTGTGATGTGGGGCTGGTGGCGCTTCTCTCAGCACGCCTGACTGACGTGCGAGAATGTGCGCGTTCAAAACCGTGGGCTGATCAAAATAATACCGCTTCGTGGGAAGGCAACAGCGATCGTCTTGTGGAGAGACTCGACCCCGCCATAGGAATGTTGAATTTCCACCAATGGCTTCGGGGCCGTAAAGGGGAGATGAGCCTCCAGTGTGCCGAAATGCCCAGTCGAGCCGGACATTACCTGGACTCTTTATGGCAGCGTTTGCCGTTGCAAGGTTCACACGGGCGCCGCCACCGTTGACGCGCGGCCGTGAAACCACTTTTGTCACGAGTAATAATTGCTGTTCTTGCCATTGGGCAGGCTGGCGAGATGAGGTGGCGGGGTTGGCGGAGAGATGAGAAGGGTTTGTGGTGGGGGGGGGGTGAGCGGACGGTGAGCGGATGGTGAGCAGGCAAAACAATTGGGTGGAGGGGAGGGGAGCGGGGGTGGGGGATACGATCCGTACGCAGGCGCGTTAGGGTCAGCCTCCGTTGACGCGGTGCACCTGGCCCGCTCGTATCTTGGGGGGGCCACGACGGGGCCATTCTCATTCACATTCGACTCGAGTTTTCAAAAAAATTACTCAGGGACCTCCCGCACGCTTACTCCCCACTCCCCTCCCCCACCTCCCACCCCGTCCGATTTAAGCGACAGCTTTCACCTTCGAAACACCCGCGGCTGCAGCCCCGTGTGCGCGTGTTAGTGTGGTATATGTATTTTTTTGTTTTATTTGCAAATTTGCGAATTTATTTTGCTACCACCCTGCCCGCCTGGCGGCGGCGAGCACCGTGACCCCGTGGGAGTCCTCGTCAAGCTCAAAGTGCTGGGTTTTCGTGAAAAAAGGGGAGCGGAATTCACAATTGCTTTTCCTCTACGGTGGTTCGGAGTGATTTACAGCTGCATTCAAATGCGCCCCACTGCATTCTCTTTAGGTTTTTCAGCGGGTCGCGTGTCTCGAAAGTTACACGGTCGCGTAAGTACGTGCCAGAGAGGCAATTGCTCAGAAGGGGCATAATTGCCAATAACTATGGAACTATTTTTATTTTATATTACCAGGCAAGGCCCACTGATAATATCGGTCTTTTTCAAAAGTGACCTGGCCACACGTGGCTTATCGTGTGGAAAGTTACAGCAGCCAAATACTCTATAACGTATGCTGATTCTAAATGTGGAGGGGAAAAATCCACACGACCACGGGGAGAATATCCAGGCATCAGGGTCGGGATCGAACCCACAAACGCCTATATACCAGGCGAGGTAGTTGACATCTCGCTAACGCTGTGTTCCACATTAGCCATATATCCTAGACAGTTTGTCTCACACGTGACATTGATTGTAGAATATGGGGCAGCAGGGTACGCCAGTAGGTAATGTTTGTGCCTTCTTAGAGCAAGAAGGGACCTGGGTTCGATTCCTGATTGCTTGCATTCTCTGTGTGGAGTGTGTATGTTCTCCACCCCTGCTTTGCTGTGATGAATCAAAGGATTTATTTCTCTGTCCCACTCGTGAACAATTGTAGCATGTGAAAGCTTTCATCCATCAGTGGATTGGCAATAGTTTGAGCGTCGTTTTTAATGGGGGTTATATAATGTATTATGCGCACCTTCCCATTCTTATAATATCTTGAGCTATCCGTAAGGTGTGCCGGTAACTGGCTCGTTCTCAGTCTTTTTTCTTCGGCGAATGCTTTTACACGTGACTTTCGCACAGTTGGAGCACCAGATAGCACGGGGAAAACAAATGATCGAATACATTAATAAAGAAGCAAATGGCCAAACTTCCCGTGCAGGACCCTCTTCGATGGAGTTCTTCGTTTTCCCGTGTAAGTAAAGTTCACTTGGCATTACATCCTTTACGCGCAGCGCACGGTAGGTGGTGATGAGAGGCAAACTCTTCAGCGCACTCCTGTTTGAGAACTGGAGTGAATGAGCGGGAATCTTCTCAGCAGCAATTCCCATCACCTCAACCTTTCACCCCCCCCCCACTCCAATCTCTGCCCGTTTTAAACCAAGAATGACATCGTAGGAGTGTATAGGTCTGCACGTTGAGAACGCTGTGGTGGCAATGCTTGGCCAAAGTGGGAATACGTTTACGCTGTTAAATGTATCGATTTGATTGTCGAGCGATTCGTGAATCAGAATATGCATTCATACTTGAGGAATCCGATGGGGCGGGTAAGAACGTAAGAACGTATCGCTTGGGGTGTGACGTGGCCACGCGGTAGGGAGCTCATCGCTCACGGTTCGAATCCAGCGGCCGCCACGGTTATTACTGCGGCGTGTAATAATAGCCATAAAATACTACGCTCGCCGTCTGCTTTACGATGCACCTTCGATTACCACGGTTATCTACTTCAGGTGCGAAAGAAGTTCAACGTACATATGACGTTAAGGTTACCTTGGCATCGCTCGCAAGATGTAAGGCCGTTGTGTGCTGGCGTCGGTGTCCAAATTCGGCAAATTCTAAAAATGCACTGTGCGAATTTGCTGAATGGGCGTTATACGCAGCAAGCCATAGCTCCCTTACTGGCGGGACTAATCCTTCAAGGCACCCTGGCAAACGAGACTCATCCTGATCTCTGAGTTCTCATCAGGTTAAACAGAACAGACTGACCATGTCGGCTCTGGCCACATCGCATGCCGCCGTACCGCAGCGGCAGCTGTGCGGATCCTACGACCCAATTAGTGCCCCCGTCACACGCCGTGGCCAATGGCAGAGCACACGCAGATCAGCTCACAGGCCTCTCGTCCTGAAACGAAAATGGGAAGGCGCCATCCCCCGTGTATTTTTCTAACCGGTGAATCATTTTTAAATCTGGCGTTTTGGCCTTGACATCGATGCACAGTACGTCAGCATGCTCTGGATAATGCTGCGCCGGTGTTTTCTTTACTTCTTCGTATCTCCTGCATCGGGGACTTGGGGAAAAATTCCCATGTAGACAAAATGGCCAAAACGTAACGGCCGTGGCGGTTTCCCCCCCCCCCCCTCATTATTGACGACGGAGACGCAGCAAGTTTTTCGCTTTCACATTCGTCAAGATGGGAATCTTCCTCTTGTGTACGGCCGATGTTGATGTTGGGCAACAACGATAATTCTACATCGAGGTGGTCGAGCCAGATGATTGCGTCAGGCAGGAGTAGTGGATTGATGAGAATCTGGAGCCGTGCGCGTTTGTGATCTCCCAGATTAGCGGTTGAGTGGTGGCGATGGAATTTGACCTGTTGGTGGATCTGTGCTCGTTTGCTCCGTGGCAAGGCAGCCTGGTGGCTATGGTTGGTGGGGGTCAAACGCTGAGCTCGTATCGCTGAGATCCTGCGTTCGGATCCATCGCATTACATTCGGTTCTTCACTTAGCCCTTTCCCATTCCGATGACGTGCGCGTACGTACGTGTGCGTATGTCATCGGAATGGAATCAGAAGAAAAGCCTAAAATATAATAATTTTATCGGTACGTTTTCTGACCTGAATACCTACCGAAGCTCCCACAAAGCCGTGCGGGAGGGCGTGTGGAACAGTTTGATGCCAGCTATCATAGAGTGCGGTCGTGTCAGTACTTTTCTCTGTGGTGAGTACAATGTCTTTAAAAACAACAGCGCTATGCCTCTCTGAGTAAAATTAACGCTGACCGCTTGCGCGTTCCGATATTCGGCGGTCAACGGGACTCCCACCCTGCAACTTGCAGATGTCTCGGAATGGGAAAGGGTTCGTTTGTCATTGGATCCTGTACATTCGGTTGTGAGAATTGCTCCCATACTCACCGGCATGCTGAAACGATAATGAGCGACGCTTTGTCAAAACGCTGGCAACGTGTGACAATTTCATTTGTTTTGCTGCGGCGGGTGAGCGGGGAGGGCACTTGCAACATGAAATTGGCCGGACGGTTGCGTGGAACTTAACCGAAACAATGTTATGATGAATCGAGATTCTCTCGACACTTTGCCTCTGCGATGGTGACCATTGTGCGTCCCTGCATTGTGCTTCTCTCAGCCGCCGCCGCAGCGTCGAGGCCGAGCCGCGTGGGTACCCTGAAGCGGCTCGTTTGTCAGCGACGCTCGCCCGCCGCATGTGAGCGCCGAGACGACCGCTTCGGCCCAGCTCATGCCGTGGGGCAAAGTGAGAGGTAAGTTTTCCGGTGAATCGGCATCGATAGACAAGTCGTGATTCCCTCAATCCAGTAGACAAGTAATGATTCCCTCGATTATCTCGATTTCGCATCTCCAATTAGCGCGGTTGGCTACATATGGTGCGAAAGAATCTCAACATGCATGTATAGATAAGTAATGGTTTTCTCGATTAATCTCTTAAAATCTATACCATTCTCCCCCCTCCCCCCCTCCCCGATTTGATCTCAGTTGCCCGATGAGTGTCGCGTTACGATACGTAGAATTTATCGGCATCTTTCGTCGAGCAGTGCAACCCTCCGTTACTGAGAATGGCTCACGAGAAGTGGACATCAGATAACTGCGCCTGAGATTCTGTTTCTGCACATGAGGGAGGCAGAGTTTTCCCTCCCAGTGCTGCGCAGAGAGTGGTGTCGCGTGACGGTCAGAGCGATGTTTTTAACGCTCAGAGGTGCAAGTGAACCAAATTAAGTACAGAACCAAATCTTGACTTAAAGCTTCCGTGACTGCAGGAATTCATATTCTTTGGGTCTTTCGGTAAAGTCACGTAGATAGGTTCAAAGAAAATAACGAAAAAACTATGATGTTTCGAACGCTTGTGTTGCGATCGAAACCTCGTAGTTTTTTGTAATTTTTTTTATTTTCTTTGAACCTATCTACGTGACTTTACCGAAAGACCCAAAGAATACAGAACCAAATTTAATCGAATGCATTTTTTTAAATAGTCGTCATTAATGGGGCCAAGACCATCTATTTGCTATCCTAGAGGATCCAGGTTGACACATGCAGCTGCGACCTGGCTTCAAACCCAGGATTTCATCAGTGGCAGCTCAGTGTTCTGACATCGTAGTCACCCAGCCACCTCAAAATAAGCAATTCCTTGGCAATTGACTAACACACTGAAATATTGTCTACAAAGATATTGATTTTGCGGCTGCTGTTCAGTTAACACGTTGAGTTTTCGTGGTCTCCGTGCGGTTTTGATGATAAACCTTTGAAAAGATGTTTCCATAATCATGTATCATGTTGCGTGCATCGAAATTTCCGCAGCTAATATTCAATTCATGTGTTCTAATGGGCCATGTGGGAGATACTGTTTCGAGATGCCAATGCATTCCAAGCCCTATGCTTCATAAGGTCAAGGTGTTAAATCAACGTCAGTGGAAGCTACATTGTTTTCGAATTATTTTGGGGAATTAAACAGATCCATTCATTGAAAACATCAACATTTCTATCCCAATTCAATGATTTTATATTCGTCATCAGGATTTGCTGTGGTGCAATGATGAGCTCACTGGACTTGCAATCCAGAGGTCCACTGGCTCCATTCAATCTCCCGGCGCGGCAGTTGAAACAACAGTGGCAAGTATATCAAATTGTCCCCTGCCCCCCGAGCCCCCCGCAGCCTCTGTCCACCCAACAAAATAAATGGCTAAGCCACAGTTAGTCAATCGGCAGGTCGTGTGTGGTTGGGGTAAAGCGTGGGCACTCCCACGGCCTCGAATGTGACTGACCAACGTGGAAGAATAGGTCAAACACCCTGCCAGCTTCGCTGTCACTGGTGGCCCTTCCGCTAGCAAATTGGCAGGGCCGCACCTTTTTACCATTTTTTGTTTGTTCTTGTCCATCGCCAGCGGCCGGGCAATGATGAACCAGGGCAAGGCGGCAGTGAAGACCAGCTCCCAGCAGCAGCAGCAGCAGCTGCAAGGTAGCAGCCCGGGTATGGCAGGCACCCTGGGCCCAAAGGGCATGGGCCCTGGCGGCCACCTGACGACCAAGGCGGCAGGACCGGGTGCCATGAGGGTCGGCAAGGGTCGCGGCAAGCGGGAGCGCAGCGAGTCGCTGGAATCGCGGGACCAGCGCGAGACCAACGCCTCTAATGCGGAGTCCGACTGCAAGGGTGCGTACCCGCGGGGGGTGCGATGCCACGATGGGGGGGTGGGGGGTTCCAGCCCCGTGGCGTTGGTGGGGTTGGAACGGACTGAAGGCTCAGTGACCTTCCCACCACTGCCCTTCTCCCAGCACCCCCCTCCCCTCTCCTCTCTCTCCCCCTTATAAAGTACCGGTGGTGACTATGAGTGGGAATTGAACTCGGGTCGCTGGGTTCGTAGCGCAGCGCGCTAACCACTACACTACCGCTCCCCCCACACATGCGCGCGCATCCATAGGTACACATACACGCGCTTGCAGCAGACACACACAACTTTCAGGGTGCGTACGGCAGTAAACGACTGAAATAATAGAGCAATGCCGCGTGAAGAACGCCTTAGACCTGCAACATATTTGTATGGCACTGTACCCTCGGAGGGTTGGGGGGGGAGGGTGACATGAGCAGGCACACCGCGTTACGCTTCCGCATGCGGGTCACATGACAGATGTGACGTCACAGCTCACTTGCCGTGCAAAATATATGCATTATTGCCCCCCCCCCCCTCCCCAAAAAATACATATTTTTATAATTGTTGCATGGTGTACAGTCTGGAAAGTACCCACACGGCAAATTTCAAGTTTGTTGCATGTCGGGAAGTATGCTAAACATTTTGAACAGACACACATTCGCAAATTTCCCTTTTATATATATAGATTATAGCTGTGGCTCATATCTGTAGACAGAGATAATGATATACAGGCGGTCCTCCACTCTTAGTTCCTGGAAAACCCATCATAAAACGGATCGTCGTAAATCGGACCCGGTTTTCCCCATGGACAGTAGAAACCGTAGAAACATCACCTGCCGTTGTTTCTCCTTCCAATGAGCCATATTTAGCAGGGTTTAATAGGTAAAATTCCACAAAAAACACTTGAGAATAAGAAAAAGTTCCATGCCAAGTCACATCGGAAACCAGATAGACTCTGTTAAAATGTTTTGGGAGTTGCATTGTAAATCAAGTTTCTGCACCGTAAATCGATCCATGGTGGCGTTATATAAATGTCGTGAATTTGGATTGCCGTAAATCGGACCATCACAAACAGGAGACCGCCTATAAATGTGAAATGAGAACATTCTAAGTCACTTATTTGGAAAATGTATACTCTTAGGTTTTTTCGATAAAGTCACGTAGGTAAAAAAATAAAATAAAAATAATAGAAATAAAATAATAAATCACGACGTTTCGTAGGCAACATAAGTCTCCGTCATGAGGTGGGACCGTCACAGCTAAGATTACTGTACCTACGTGACTTTACCGAAAAAACCTAAGAGTATAAATCCTTGCAGTCACGAAAGCTTCAAATCTAGAATTGTAAAATGTATTTCTGAACTTTGATGTCAGTTAGACACGGATCCAGGCCTGTCCGTGATGATCAGCCTATATATGCGTCTGATTCATCCTTATAAGAATAACATTTGATCGGAGGATATTGATGAAGATGGAAATTTTAGTTAAGGATGCAGTTTAATCAATGCCGGGTTCCACACAAGAGCGACCAAATCACTCTCGAATTAATCGCGCAACTCAAATTGCCTGCAACTGCTATGTCCACATCTGGCAAAATATTTTCCCAACAACGAAACAACACGACGCATTCAGGATTCCAACGGCCAGTCATAGCTCGCAAATGTGTGCATGTGATGGAACGCGTCGCTACAAATGGACGGGCAGATCGAAGCTTGAAAGTCGCGTCTGTCTTTCCCGTGAGCAACCGTCTCGCGCAACTGCTCGCAACTCAGTTGCAGAAACGTCCAGATATACACGATTCCGGTGAAATGTATCTGGTTGTGGACCAGCATTTTATTTTGGCTGCATTGTGGAAATCTCACGAGTTGTTGTCTCAGCCCCCTGCACGGGAGGTCACGCCGCAAGCTTTGGGTGCAGAGCCTCCTTCGATTCCCCTTGGACGGCAGACCTCGGCCCAGCGCCGTGCAATGCCACGGCCTCGTGGTCCAGAAGCGAGTCTCGGGTGGCGGGGTGTGGTGATGCCAGTAAGGGGGGGGGGGGGGGGGCGGCAGGTGCGGCGGGTTATTACGTATTTCAGTTATACGTCCCGTAACGGGAACTCGCTTGGCTGTGCGTATTTGACGGCGATTGACGAGGCCGGGCTCGTCGTTTTTCCCGCCGCCGTCCTGTAGTGTTTTTTTTTTTGCAGGAGCGGCGGAGGGTTTGACTCCGAAACGAAACGACCACCGATCTCGCGGCCGTTGGCTTCCGCACCTTTTTTGCTGTCCCTGAACCCCCCTCCGCCCCCCCTCCCCCTCGACCCCCCCCCCCCCGCACCCCACAACTCTAGGCTGCCGAGGAAAGGCTATTCTCGGCTTAGTGCCAGGGTGGTTATTGATGTGCCACAAGGAGACAGTATATTTCCCTGAGATCAATACAGCAGGCCGTTTGCACTTATTTTCCATTTTACTGCTCAGCTTGGGGAAAAAATATGTACTGGAGTGATATAAACAAGCAGAAACTCCATTCCACTGCTGCCAGCGGTTTGTTAATCGTAACAACTGTGCGATGCGCATGTCCGTGTTTGGCAGGCAGGAGTGCATGCGTGCCCGGGAGCACAATATAGAGCATTGCTATTCAAGACGTCCTTGCGAGGAATATAAAGGGGAGAAAAAAAATTAATGGAGTGTACCATTGCTCACAGGGGCCATTCCTCTGCGCAGCTGTGCAGTCGTTTTTACTTTAATTGTGGAGTGTACCATCTTACGTGGGGATGATTTCTTCACGCGGTGGAGTGTTCCACCTGCACACGAACGGATTGCAATGCTCCCATCTCTGCGATGAGAGAATTCTAATTTCAAATGTTTTCTTCTTGGTTCACGAAATTATAATAATGCTGGCTTTTTTTTTAATCAGTGAAATCCTCATTGAGGGTGAAAACAAATGTTCAAGCATGTTATGCATTGGGATGTTTGGTCAATCACCCTAATGAGTGTATTGCAATTGGGAGAAAATTAAGACTACCCGCACATAACTGCATAGCACACAAAGTATCGCACGGATAGTTTGAGAAATCTATTCCTGTGCATTCATCTCCAGACCAAGTACCAGGCCGACCGTTAATTGGATTGTACTTTGTTGAGATGCTGGGACTTGTTAATGTTTACCTAGGAGAGCCGCACTCTGGGAAAGTCTTGTTTGAGATTTTTGTTTATTTCCTCTGCAAGTATTTTTTTCTTCCTGCGATGTGCCCAGAGAAATACACGTGGGATGGTGACACGGCCCAGCGGCAGCGTATTTGTCTTTTCGTTCTAGAGGGGACGAGATGTTAACTCCCTCACCTAGTTTGCAGGAGGTTGTGGGTTCGGTCCTGACCCTGACGTCTGAAATATATTTGGAGTATGCGTGTCTCTCTCCCCGTGGTCGCGTGGATTTTTCTCCAGGTCCTCTGATTTTTCCTGCCACATTTAGAATCGACATTGCGCATTTCGAGTATTTGGCTGCTATAGATGTGTACAAAAGCCACGATGGTGAGCTACCATTGGCGGTCAGGTCGCTTCTGAAAAAAGAGCTGTGTAGCTCAGTGGGCCTTACCTGGTCAAATAGAAAATAGAGAAATAGATAGAATACTGCATGTGTTCTAACCACACATATGCACCCTTGTGTTTCAAGGTGGACGTTAAACACCACGCGACATTATTCAACATAAGAGTCGGGCCACGTGTGCCGGTGTCAAAGGTGCAAAGCTTTCAAAATGTGAAAATGACTCGCAAGTTACTTAATTGGGGGAAAACTCATAAAACAAAAATAATTATTTGTTATATTACCAGGTAAGGTCCACTGAGCTGTATAACTCTTTTTCAAGAAGTGACCTGGCCACAAATGATAGCCCAACGAATTGAAATGTATAGCAGCCAAATACTCTAAACGCATGTTGTTTCTAAATGCAGAGGGAAAAACCGGAGGTCATGGAGAAAAATCCACGTGACCACGGAGAGAACATGCAAACACCAAATATACAGGAGTCAGGGTCTGAATGGAACCCACGGCCTCCTGCATACCAGGCGAGGTAGTTAACATCTCGCCACCGTGGCGCCCATAACGGTTGGGGAGACCCTTCCGCCGGGCTGCGGCGTGGTCGAAGAAGTCGCAGGGCTGCACCCTATGCCGTTTTCACGCGCGCGCTCTGCCGTCTGCGACGTGTCGCACGCGCGTGCAGACATGGTGTCACGCGGCAAGCGGAAGTGCGTGCTGGAGAAGAAGACCCCGTACAGCGGAGACGAGTGGTGCTCGGGGCCCGACAGCGATGCCGACGACAAGCCCTTCCTCGCCGCCAGCGCCGCCCCCAGTGAGTGCCCAGCCACCACACGTCGCCTCGCCACCCTCTTCGCCGTTATGTTTCACACGTGGTCGAGCTTTTCGCGACCGATATTATCCTTAACAAAGGTTTTTTTGTTTGTTTTTCGGCTTGGATACGCCGCGTAAATATGAATGTGTCGTTAAACCCGCCGCCACCCGAGACGCAGCGAATTGGTAAAAGTTTGTCACGTAAATAACACGTGACCAAAGAATTACTACTTCAGCATACCCCTGTGTGTGTTGGGGAGTAAACGCACAACATGTACGCTTTGAGTACGGCGTTTCGCTGGTGATTACAAGCAGCTCCATCGGACGATTTTCCAGAATTGCGATGACATAGCCTTTGCTCTGTTTAAGACTAAAACAGGAAGACTGTTTTGGCAAATCGCCCGATGGAACTGGTCGTAAACACCAACGAAACCTCTCCCCTTGTTCTCTCGCTGGGCATCGCTACTACTGCTACTACTGCGTGGGGTTTTCGCGCTTGTGCTGTATAGCTCAACCCGAGCGGCACCCAAGGAACGGAACGCGTCCGAGAGGACGTCCACCGAGGAGGAGATGGAGCGATGAAATCGGTTCGTGTGCAGCTGCTCGGATCATTATTACATCGCTGGATCGTGAGAGGTGGCGGCGGTGGTTTGGCGAGGCCACCGTCCAGCAGTGGATTGACCATGGCTCACGATAATAATGATGATGATGCTTTGCGGAGCTCCGATGTGTTTCTGGGTCGCACCGCGTGTTGCTCACCATGATGCCCGACGTTTTGCTCCACGTGCCTGGGAGCTTCTTCAGGAACTGATTTTAGCAGCTCATGTTCTATGTGTAGCAGCGGCTGAATTTCCTTGGCATTTTTTTGTTATTTTAGTCTTAGTGTATTCGACGACAACCTGTCGAATCTTAGTCAAATCTTATTCTGTATATAAGATCCAGGATGGTCGTGTCTATGCGCCGCTTCTCGGTGGCAGCCCCAACAGTCTGGAACGATATCCCTCTGCACATTCGCAGCATCACCTCAATCGCCTCTTTCAAGAGAGACTTAAAAACTCACCTCTACGACCACGCTTTCGAGCGACTCTGAGCTTGGCTCCGCACCTCTGAGTTGCGGCCACTACGTCTGCAAATTTGCGCGCGTTACAAATTGAACTATTATTATATGCAAGTATTTTTAACTTCTTTCGCACCATACATAGCCTATCATGCCAATCGCTTAGTCATTCTCTTGGTCTAGCTGACTAAAGGTGTCAAACATTTAGTTCACTCTCATCGGACATCAAGCGGAACAGCATGCGATGCAACTCGGAAACACATCGGAGATATTTCTGGGCATTGTCGCTGAAACCTCATTGGTCAGTTGGCTACCATGGGACTGTCAGATCCTCAGCTACTGTAATTGTAACGTGGTGCCGATGATTGCGTCTAAAATGCTAGTTTATATTTCTATGAGTGTCCATATAAAAACAACTCATCACATTCATCAATGCACGATCACTGCATAATTAGTGTAATTAAATAGCTCTCCAAAGCTAAGCATCGCGGAGCCTGGATGGGGTGACCCACCCTGCACAGAGGTTTTCGTAAGCTTGCAGAGCTACCTGCTGGTCAACCGAGGGCAGTGCAGAAACACCCCAACATTCTGCTGTTGTTCTGTGCTCCCAGCATGCTCACCGCCTGCACCAACCCGCACCGATCACGTGGTAAAGTGTGGTAAAAAAAAAACGCCCACGGCCCGCTCGCCATTTATAGGCCGTCATTCGGCAGTGGCTTGACAAATGGCAGTGGATGCGCTATGTGGTATGGGGGGTACGTAACGCCTACTGCGGGGGGGGACCTTTTGTGATGAATTGTCTTCGGCAGAGCGAGTGGATGAGGATGCGGGTCGCAGTGAAATGGGCTGCACGCAATGCCACGGGCCATATCGGTGGAGAGAGATGATCCTAGAAATGTAAAAGGAGAATTATAATCTCAATCGATTACGATGTAAATCCATACATGAACTTTGAGTCGAGTTCGACACGGGTGCCTCAATTCATCAACCTTGCAGGTTTCTCCGTGATCAGCAGCCTATTTATGCGACTGATAAATCGTTATACAAATTGCATGTGATTGGAGGATATTGATTAACATGGAAATTTTGACTCGTGTGGCTGATGTTGGCACAGTGGGGTTTTGAGTACCCTGGCACAAAGCATCTGTCTTTAATCGCATGTGCCCTGAATTTGAAACAAAAGTAATAGCAGTAATCCATGCATGTTTTGTTTTTATTCAACGCAACTGCAAAGATTGCACAGGGGGTGGCCGGGAGTTCATGAAACCTTCCGAGGCGGCGGCCCCTCCTCTCGCCTGCCCTACGGCCTTCACAGCAGTCCCCGCAGGCCTTCCAAGCATGCCCCATGCCCCCACGGGTGGCCGCCCCCCTCCAGGACCAGTGAAGGCCCGGCCCTCATCTGTGCTCATCTTCTCCACGGAGCTGGCCAATAGGTGAGGCCGTGACCTTTGGCTCGATGCTCTCATGTTGCCGCAGCTCTCTCCGCCGTCGTAGCGTGAGAGTCAGACGCTCCGCGCTCCTCGTCGTGTGTCGTGGGATGTTAAGGTCAATTGGATTCATATTCTTAGGTTTTTTCGGTACTTGATACAGCTATCGTGCTGTGACGGTTCCACCTGAAGACGGAAGCTTGTGTTGCCTCCGAAACGTCGTGATTTTTGTTTTATTTTTATTTTACTTTTATTAATTCAAAAATTTTGCCTACGTGACTTTACCGAAAAAACCTAAGAATATGAATCCTTGCAGTCACGAAAGCTTCAAATCTAGAAAGAGTCAATTGGTTTATTTTTTATCCCGCAAATTTGCCTTTATGTTGGATGTTGATATTTTAAGGAAAACTTGTGGTATTATTTTAAATTTTCAGATCGTTGACGTAGTAATTTAACGTGTCTTCGCTCGAGCAAAAGCGCCGTAACCTGACGTTGCATGACAACCACTGTTGGCGAGGAAAACACGGACGGAAGTAACGCTAAGAAGTGACGTCATTTCCCGTGACAACACATTTTCGGATCAATCCAAAACACGTTTTTTTTCCCTTTCAGATCGCCCGAAATTTCATTTGCAGATCCCGATTCTTCATACGTTGGTCACCAACACGTTCCGATTCACAAGTAATTGAACACCGTCCTGGGCCCTGGCATTGGATGGTTGTTCAATTCCTTGCCCTAATCACCACCGAATCGGAACGTGTCGGTGAGCAACTATTAAACACTGGTTTAACGTGGGTACTGAAATACATTTTTTGGAGGGGAATTTTGGAATTTAATTTGAGCATCTGAAACACAATCGTAGACTTTTGCCTTGTTTGCAGTTAAACACAAGTATTGTGACTAAAAAAAAGTTGAAAGGTGGGCGATTTAAGACTACGTGTCACCTTGTCGTAACAGGTCGTTGAAATTTTAACAGTTAGCTACTTGTGTAATAAAAAGGACTCAGACACTTCTCGCTGACTCCGTGTCCTTTATTTGGGGTTCGCGTTCTCCTTCCCACACGGCACTCCTCCTGAGACTCTCTCCCTGGCAGCCCCACATCTGCCTTCGCTCCCGTAGCCTTCCACGCTCCTGCAGCTCCGCTGCAGGCTCTTGGTACAGCCCTCTGGCTGCTCCCCCAGCAGCTCCATCTCTGCTCCCTGTTCCTCCGTGCGTGGCGATCTCGCCACCTCCCAATGTCAGCCCTTCGTGGCCTCTGTGGCTATCTCGCCATTTCCTACCTCAATCCTCCACTCTCTCTTCCACCCCGCTGGCTGGCGCCGTCATGAGCCCCTCAGCCACCAGGCTGAGGCACGGCGACCACCCAACGTGTTCACCACCCTTCACTCCCCCGACTGACCCAGATAGCTTCCTGTCTCCCCGCTATAACTTCTCCCCCACGTCACCCTGACTCCTCCCTCTCGGATCGTCATATCCGCCCCGCCCATTTACGCCCGCATTACACTACCCTCCCCCGTAGAGAAAATCCCAGCCGTCCTCGGCTGAAACAGAACAAAATAATGCGGGCGAAGGCATCACAATCAGGAGTCCCCCAGACACAACGGAGATTATAACAACAACAACACAAGCAACGAAAGGGGAGGTATCAGGAACTGGAACAGAACACCGGCCTGTCCTCCGCACAACAACAACAAGAATAAGAATGGCACAATGAACAAAAACGGCAACTGACACGCAAGAACGGCCAACGCGCACAACCCAGAAATGTGATGTTTTAGTGCGTGTCCATGTTGCAGTTCCATCCGCTCGGCTCAAGTCCAACGTCAAAGAGCAAGTGGTAGAGCAGAACGACGAACGGTGCTCAATTGCTCCTATAATATACACGCAATCTCGTGTGCACAACACCCATACAACCAAATTTTTGGGTCCCCCTCCAATTTGTTACCAATTTCCAACAAGTACGCACAATATAATAACAATCTCAATTCCAATAGTCAACCACTGCATCGCACCCCATAACCATACAGAACGGTATAACAGCACATGCAATCAGCATATCGCGATCACACGCGTACATTTAAGCACAATAGCAAGCAGATCTGCAGGCAACCAACACACCATTAATCCTGTCGTAACTTTGCAGCAACAACACAATTATTCTCTCTCTTGCAACAATCGCATCGCACACAGCACCTCGCAGCACAATACACCAAAAAAAATATATGTTATTTTTTCCCAATTAAGCCCATCGCACAAGGTAACCCACAAATAATACAGCGCAAGATACCCGACGCTCCCAAGTTAATAATTAACTTCACCATCAAGATAACAACTCCACGCAGCAGCGCACACACACAATTTGACACTCAGCAAATACAGCAGACTCTCCGTCCATTCTCAACACACGCACACACTTATATTGACACCAAGCAACAAGCAGATAGCGCGTTCATCGTTATTACACACACATACAGACAGTCCGAACCGCGCTCCGCACAATCGAGTCATAAGAGAAAACCAAAATAGCCCCCCGGCCCTCGAAAGATGAGTGAGGTGTGTGTTAAGGCCGGGTGCGTATCGTTATGACTCGCCCGGGGCTGCAGCAAGAAGAGGACGGCAGGGTGGCAACTTGAGACGCCTCGCAGAACTCGTTCGGCGACTTGACGGCTCCGTTGTCACGCACCCGAGCCAGGACGGGAAGCTCCCGCCCCAGCAGCTGCAGCATCGGCGTCTTCTCCTCGCAGCACCCCCTCGAAAAACAGCAGCTCACAGCAGGCTCTCACCCCGCGGCACCTCCAGATGGCAGCGCAAGGCTGCCTCTCCGCCGCGATGTTGAAGATGGCGGCGTCCTCCCGCCGCGGTGAAGACAAGATGGCGGCTTCCCGCCGTTTCTCCCCTGCCACGCCCAAGATGGCGTCTTCGTGCCACGTGGCAATGGCGCTGGCAGCGCAGGAAAGGCAGAGGCCTGCGGATCACCACCGGGCCTCCCCGACGTCGTCCTCGGCGTGGTGAACTCACACAGTCGCGCCAGCACGATTTTCAAGGTCCCCATCTGCATCACCATCTGTCTCCATCGTAAGTTGGCATCCTTCGGCACAGACAGGTCCACCGACGCGGCGACACCTTGCTCACCCGGACCCGTACTCGTTCCAGAACGGATCTCCTCTTCCATCGCAGGCAGGTCCACTGTCTGAGGAAGGTCGTCGTCGTCGGATGATGTAGCAGGAATATTTTTTTTTTCTTCTTTCTCTCAGTTGTTTTGAGATGCCGTTTCACTTCTGACTCCAGTGTAATAAAAAGGACTCAGACACTTCTCGCTGACTCCGTGTCCTTTATTTGGGGTTCGCGTTCTCCTTCCCACACGGCACTCCTCCTGAGACTCTCTCCCTGGCAGCCCCACATCTGCCTTCGCTCCCGTAGCCTTCCACGCTCCTGCAGCTCCGCTGCAGGCTCTTGGTACAGCCCTCTGGCTGCTCCCCCAGCAGCTCCATCTCTGCTCCCTGTTCCTCCGTGCGTGGCGATCTCGCCACCTCCCAATGTCAGCCCTTCGTGGCCTCTATGGCTATCTCGCCATCTCCTACCTCAATCCTCCACTCTCTCTTCCACCCCGCTGGCTGGCGCCGTCATGAGCCCCTCAGCCACCAGGCTGAGGCACGGCGACCACCCAACGTGTTCACCACCCTTCACTCCCCCGACTGACCCAGATAGCTTCCTGTCTCCCCGCTATAACTTCTCCCCCACGTCACCCTGACTCCTCCCTCTCGGATCGTCATATCCGCCCCGCCCATTTACGCCCGCATTACACTTGTACAAATACTACGTCATACTAATTCCGTGGTGAATGTGACTATTAGTGTAGAGCTACGTTAGGGTGGCACACGAACGATGATGATGATGACAACGACGACGTTGGCAGTTGCCTGCTGCGTGCGTGCGTGCGCTCGCGCGCGTTTGCACATCTCTTTCGGAGCAAGGTCTCAGTGCGGATTCAAGCGCGTTCAAGAATGCGAGCCGGCAATAATAGTCGTCTTACGCGAGAGGAGTGCCTTGCTTCGACGAACGCGTCCAAATTTGCAAGTTCGTGAATTGCCTGTTGTTAAATAATTGGTTTATAAATCGTTCCTTTTGGTATCACGGCCCCTTGCACAGAGTCATCAGATGTTAACCAAAGGACGTCGGTGCTTTAACCCAGTGTGCATGTGGAGCGCGTAATTAATACTACAATTTAATGAGGTCATCAACGAAGGAAATGTCTAGAGCTTCATCCTTGTTTCTTAGAGCGATGAATCTGCAGGTAAATGGTTTAGCGCGCGCCCTGCGCGTGTTTCCACACGTGCGCGCGTGTGCGTGTTCACACAAAACAAAGACAAAGATCCCCCGTATAGCCTTAACAGACTGTTGGGGCAAGTGCTGTTCGCGAGCACCTATGAAGGACAGAACGGCACACGAGGGGGTGGAAGGCCAGCACCACGCCCAGCCGCCTTTGTCTCCACAGTGGTGATGTTTTTACACACCGCACCATGTTCTAATTTGAGGCTGAGTCAACCTCGGGGAGGCCCAGGACCGGTTCAGATAATCATCATCGATGTTGGGTGTGAGCGGGAATTGAACTCGGGCCACCAGGTTCATAGCGCAGCGTAGCACTAACCGCTACACTACTGCTCCCCACACACACACACACGCGCGCGTGCTTGTGTTGCGAATGCGCGTGTTGCCCGTGCACGTGCACGCTAATTCCCTTCCCACCCACTGTAATAACACGCGTCGTTGCTCGGCCTTTCCCATCGATTTGTCGTGTGAGCGGTTGAGCCGGCGCTGCCTCCGCGCCGCTGCTGTGCGTACGTTGAACTTCTCTCGCACCGTACGTACAAAGCCAACCGTGCCAATCAGAGGCGCGTGGATGTACGTTGAACTTCACTCGCATTGTACGTAGCCGACCGTGCCAATCGGAGGTGCTGTTGGGCGACCGAGCACCGCGCAGGGTTTTCCATCGGGCCTGTGAGCAACCATTTGTATTTCCATCCTTACAGTGTGGGCACGAACGTGAAGAGTGTTTTCGTATTCATTATTTTAACTTATTAACCTTTTCCAGAGCTAATATGGTGGGCTGAAAATGTATTCGACGCCAACAACAACTTTCAGTGTAAACTGTTTTATTTAATTTAACGCGTAGGTTTTTGCAGCCGGCGTTATGATTCGTAATTGATTTTATGGTTAGGCCGTGTAATGATCTGGAAAAGATTGTCTCTTGATTTACAGATTTGAATTGGAGCCAAACATAATAATTTTTCACATGGTAGTGTTTAACGACGTGCCAATAATTGTAGTTGCAATTCACCGACGAGTTGAACGACTCTTCTGTAAAAATTATTCCAGTGAGTTGAAACAATTATGTCTAGCGAAGTGAACGCTCTCGCACGCGACATTATCATTTGTTTGGTTATGTCAGGCGGTGGCGGGTTTCACGACAGAAAATTGGCCAGATTATTAAGTGGCGTCGCCCAAACTCAGTTCTTTAATCAACATTCAGCTTTAGCTGTGTTTATTGTGCTTCTCCAAATAGGGGAAACTATGAATGTTGGGACCTTGGCCATATATATTGTTTAAGAACAGGAAAGTCTCACTGGGTCTCAACATGTTTCATTCAGCAGGGTCCTGCTAAGTTTCTTAGTCGAGGGTAACACTGCTATGTGCGTTCCCGCTTGTATAACTTGCGGGTAATTGAAACATTTGGATTATGACGCTGGCACGTGTGGCCTAATCTTTTCTAAATTAACTTAATGCTCATGCTGACCCTCATGCGAACCAGTGGCTTAGTGGTAGAGTGAGTCGCTCACAATCGGAAAGTTACGAGTTCACTTCCTGGTTGGATGTTGACTCAGTCCATATTCCCTCAGTCGGTAAACTGAATAATGGTGGCAAGGGGAGGCCTTCATCCAGCATTGGATTGATCTTGACTGGCTATGATATGTAGTCTGTCAGCCGTGTATCATATGGTGTACACGGTGTGCGGGGGTTGTGTATAGTGTATGCAGTGTGTCTCGTGTGTGTGTGTGCGTATATTGGGAGCAGTAGTGTAGCGGTTAGCGCGCTGCGCTACAAACCTGGCACCCCAGGTTCGATTCCCGCTCACGGCCAACATCAGTGACGATTATCTAAACCGGTCCTGGGCCTCCCCTAGGTCGACTCAGCCTAAAATGAGTACCTGGCAACATTTGTAAACATCGTCACTGGGGAGACAAAGGTGTCCGGGCATGGTGCTGGCCACCCACCCCCTCGTGTGCTGTTCCGGCCTTCATAGGTGCTCGCTAAAGGCACTTGCCCTAACAGTCTGTTAAGGCTACATGGGGGGTCTTTGTCTATGTGATGCGTTTACAGGTTTATCTCACAGATGGCGCGAAGCGAAGCCACGCGTGACAGTTGCCTGCCGAGTAGTGCACGCAGTACTGTACACAAACAATGTTGTCCCACGTCCGACCGCATCGCCGCATATGATGGAATACAAACCTCACATAGAACATTTTGGCTAGAAATTGGTTAGCCGCGTATGCGCCAAAACGCACATGTTCATCAGTGACACGTTGTGCCTGGGAATGTGTCTGGTTATGGAGTTCCCAGTCGTTTGCTCATGCTGTGAACTTTGTGCGGGCTATAACCCTGCATTACGCGTGTCCACTACCCATTGCAGGGCAGCGGAGGCAGTAACGCAGGGAAGGTCCGACTCCATTCTCTCCTTCCACAAGCAAGAGAAGGGCTTCCTACAGAAGGTAGATTTTTGCCCACACTAACATATGATCACACTTTGAATGTGGGATACAATGACAGCAATTGGGGTTTAAGGCAACGATGGGGAGGTGGTGGTAATTATGGTGGTGACGATGTTGATGATGATGCTGATGATGTGTGTATACCTGCTGCTGTCGCGTGCATAGAATAACCAGCCCCCGGTGAGCCGCACCTTGTCGCAGTTGCTGCAGCAGCAGCAGCCGCCTCACCGAGCAACACCACCAGGAGGTGTCCACCAGCAAGCAGAGCACTCGCCCTCACACCCCCCACAGCCGCAGCAACCACAACCGCAGCAGCAGCAGCAGCAGCCGCCCTCCGAGCCGGGCCCCCACCCTCTCCCGCCGCAGGAGAATGGCCCCGCTTCCGAAACGTCGGGCAAGGACGGCGGCGGCGGCGGCGGCGGCGACGACTCGGCCGTGGAAAACGGGTCACAGGGACGCGAGACGCCCTCCAACCGCCAGAGTCCGCTGCTGGGGCCGGCCGGTGCGAGACCGCCGGCGCCGGCGGGGGAAGGCCCGACCAACGGCACGGAGGCGGCGCCCGCTGCGTCGTCGCAGGCCCCCGGGGGCTGCGGTGGCTGCTCGACGCCGGGGCACGGCGGTGGAGTGCCGGCAAACCAGGCGGGTGGCCCTCGTGGCCCCGGCGGTCCCGGTGGTCCCGGCGGCCCCGGCGGTCCCGGCGGCCCCTGCGTTCCCGGCGGGCCGTGCGGCCCCTGCGGCCCTTGCGGCCCATGCGGCCCCGGCGGCCACCTGCTGGTGGGGAACACGGAGGGGCTGTCGCTGGAGCAGCTGGAGCACCGCGAGATGTCTCTGCAGAAGCTACGCGACATCCAGAGGATGCTGTTCCCGGAGCAGAGCGACCAGGACTTCCCGCTGCGGACTAGCACTTCCAACTGGGGCCACAAGCCCAACCACGACGGCGTGGGCATGAAGAGGGCACCCGACGAGCAGCTGATGCCGCAGGGCATGAAGAGGCCCGAGGACCCGCTGCAGGCGATGATGTCTCAGACGCAGAGCCTGGGCGGCGGGCCGTTGGAGCCCGGCGCCATGCAGCCATCGGCCGTGCACCCCAACTCGATGCTGTCACTGCAGGAGCAGCAGCCTGGGCTGCACCCCGGGGCCCTGCTATCGATGCAGGAGCACCAGGCCGGCCGGGCCATGCAGATGTCGCCCGGCAGCGGGCAGGAGCAGATGACGCCGGAGCAGCTGGCGTGGCTCAGGCTGCAGCAGGAGTTCTACGAGGATAAGCGGCGAAAGCAGGAGCAGGCCGTCCACCAGCGGGGCTTCCAGGAGATGATGATCCTGCAGCAGCAGCAGCATCCGCTGGGAGGGATGCCGAGGCCGCCGCCCCCTCCGTACCGGAACGTTCCCGGGGGGCGGTTCCCCGACGGCATGATGCCCGGCATGCGGGACCAGTTTGGCGACCCCCTGGACTTCCCGGGCCCCATGGTGGCGAGGAGCATGGGCGGCTTCAACATGGGACCGAGGTTCCCTGGGAATGCCATGCAGAGGTTTCCCGGCGGCGGGCGGAGGCTCATTGACATGGACGGCCCCATGAACCCGATGCAGCAGCAGCAGCTGCACCCGGGCCTCGCGTGGCAGGACGAGCTGATGTCGGTGATGCCGGGCGGCCTGGGGCCTGAGCGGATGCCGGTGCCCGAGCAGCTGCTGCGCCAGCGGATCATGGAGAAGCGTGGGATGAGAGGCTTGGGCATCCCGGCGGGGCGAGGCATGCCGCAAAACCCGGACATGGAGCGGCTCTTCCACTCCCAGCGCCACCTGGATCCGGCCATGAACGCGGGGCTCTTTTCCCCCCTGCCCGGCGACCACTCGCCCGTGCCGCACCCGGGCATTGATCCCGGTGTCCTGCAGAGGGGCATGCTGATGAGTCCCAATATGGGCGGCCCTCAGCCGGGACTCGGTGGGCCGGACTTTGAGATGATCGGTCCTGCCCCGAGAAACCTCAATCTCATGTCCCCGCAGCAGCAGCAGCAACAGCAGCAGCAGCAAGCGATGATATCCCAGAAGCTGCGAGACTCCCTGCAGCAGATACCAGAAGAGGACATATTGCTGGGACCGATGGCGGAGAGCGCAGACCTCCTGATGCTGGCGCAGCAACACCAGCATCAGCAGCAGCAGCAGCAGAAAATGCTGATGTCAGCGCAGCAGGGCCAGCACGGCATGATCATGTCGCCGCTACAGGACTTCCCCGGCGGGCCCGGCTCGTTCCCGGACATCCTGCAAGGCATGGAGGCACTGGAGCAGCAGTTTGGGCCTGACCAGGCCATCATGGGCAACAGCCTGGCGAGGCCCGGCCCCGTGGGCCCCGCAGGGCCCATGGGTAACGCAAGCGTGGTGGCGCCGCAGAGGGCACTGGGACGACGGCCCGCAAAGCTGCCATTGCCGGCTTCTCCGGGAATCGGGGCGATGAAGTCGCCCAGCCTGGGGCCCGTGCACTCGCCGGCCGTCAACTCGCCCAGCACCGCCATGGCCACCCCACCCAGCGCCTCCATGAAGTCCCCCGCGCAGGTCTGTGGTTGTTCACCATTTCATTTCATTCAGAATTCTAATTGGATATCTGTATTTTTTCAAATTAATGAATGACTGTAAGTGGCCAATTGGCTCAGGCGGCTAAGGCTTTCACCGGCCGCAATGACCAATGTGGAGAAGTATGGTCAACTAACTTTGGTGAACCTGCACAGCGTGGAGTATGTTTGTTTAACTTCTTTAGCACCGTACTCATACCTGTCAACCTATACGGTTTACCCGTCTTCTTGGACAGGTCCATATGGCGTACAGCCGTTTCTGTACAGGCAAAAAAAAATTTGTCTTTCTCCCTTGTGATGGGACTTTGTAGGATGAACGTTGAGATTTATAAAGGCACGGGGTGACCAATAATGTTTGCGAGCCTGCCGTAGCAATCTGTGCCAGGCCCACTTGACGAGGTTTTCGTGAACGAAGCCAGCTCGCTTCTCGGTGGTCGTCATGGGAACGCGGCATTAACCAGCGTTTCATGTCTCGACCCAGGCACAGACGGCACTGGCGGCCTCCGCATCTGGGAGCGTGGGAGGTGGAGGCAGCGGCGGCGGAGTCGGCTCGGCTCTGAGTGGGCGGTCTCCGGCGGGCTCGCCCGCCCACCTGCGCTCGCCAGCCTCCTCCCTGCCGGCACCGTCGCCCGGTTGGGCCTCCTCTCCCAAGGCCCCGCCGCCGTTGCCGAGCCCGGGCGGCGTGGCGACGCACGGCAAGGGCCCGGCGAGCCACGGCGGGACCCCGGCCCCACCGCCGCACACCGGCATGGATGCAGGTGCGCACGCTGCAGAGTCAGCAAAGCGATGTCACTTTTCTCCGACGCAGCGTCAGATTTCACGACGTGACGATCATAGCCGGTATCGGTTGACCATAACGTAGTGACCATAACGTAGTGAGTGTATACCGTATTTTCCGGATTATAAGATTGCTGTGGAAAGTAAGACGCACCCCAATCTTTTGTCGGTGAAGTTATACAAATCTGATCACACACGAACACACATGCTACCGGATTATAAGATGCACCCCTAATATTTTTGCTTTAAAATAGAATGGGCGCAGTGCGTTTATAATCGAGACAATACGGTGTTTTTCATTACTTTATCGTACAGCATGCCGAAGTCATTTCCCAAGTGAGTAACATTAAAACACAACTTGATCACACTTACATTGTTATTGTACTGTTAATAAACATTATCTACACAGGATTCCCCTAAAAAATGTTTTTATCTAAGTAGTTTTTTTATTTGATTACGAAAAAGAAATGTTACCTCTTTGAGTGAATTTTCGGGTCAAGTAATGGTCTCATTGTGCTGAATAATAGATGACACGTTTCACTCTAAGAATTGGATTGTAATTCAGTCGTCATTGTAAAAAAAAACACACAAGTTCAAAAGTGCATTGCTTGTTTTTTGGCCACGTGAAATACCACATGTAATATTAACGTGGGCTGTTTAATGTTTAATAGGATCTGTGTGTTGTGAATTTTTTCGTCAATAGTTTGGACAAACGTAGAGATGGAATATTTCAAGTGTGCACGTTGATTCATTCAGCTGATTAAATTTGTGTTTAGAGGTGGCCGAGGCGGCTATAAGGTTAGGATGCTGAGCCTGCATAGCTAAGATACTGAGTGTGAATTCAGACAGTGTGTCTGTGATTAAACTGGGTTCTTGAGTGCATTGAGTTGTTGGTCTCAGCCCCCATCAGCAAGGACTGCACACCAAAAATATCGCATCAAATTAAATTTGTTTTTTAAACTTTTCTAGAATCCAGCTCTGAGAATTAAAATATCGGTTTAAATGTCATGCTTCGAACCTCACTCATATGCAAAGCGAATGGGGAAAGTACCGCCCTCGACTGTGTTGAGCACATATTTCGCAGCCGTTCTCCAACACGCACCAATTGCGTCGCTCTGCGAGAGATCCGAAAGAATTCTACGTATCCCGGCGTGACGCTGATAGCACAATCGTAATTAAATTGTGGAAAATACGACAAATGAAATAAAAAGAATCGTGTTTAATTCGCCCCCTTGAGTATGGCTGCATGCACTGATATGCGAGCACAGTAATACAATTTCGAGGATTAAATTTTTTTTTAAGTCTACGAGATATTAAAATGTATCGCGCGAGAATGACTTAACTGAGTTTCAAAAGGCAATATTTGAGCTAAAGTTACGAACGCAAATTATCTTGAAAAAAGTAACTGTTGGCAAAAAAAACTGGAAGTTAAAAACACATAAAATCCTCACAGACCTAATTAACAGATGAAAGAAAACAATGATGACAGAAATGTAATAACTTTTTACGGTGCAATTTCAGAGGTCAAAGAGTTACTTTGTCAAGAGTGGCGGTGCTGAAATGCGTGGGGCGGAGGTTTTCTGTTGCATCATCTCTGTGTACGCTCAGGAATTTAATGATGAAGTTAACAACCCCACGTAGCATTCCGTTCACTTACTATCCCAGACATTCATCCCGTGTCTGTAGGCATTATTGAAAAGCACTTTAACGCTCTATCCCAAGCAAATCGTCAAGCGATCGTCTTTATGTGCATGCACTCATTATTGAATTCAGCACATGTGGTACGGACACGTGATAATTATGTCCGATCCACAAGATCTGAAGTGCCCCATTGTCTGTGCGTTTTTAAGATTTATAGGCGACGTTTCAGGCAGTGGCCCCTTCCTCTATGGGAAACATAGACGTGGTCACATAGAAGTACAGTACGACGATGGATTTTACTGTAGTCCTCTGCTGCTAATAGCATAGCATAGCCCTGCAGACCCCGATAACAAATTGGCATGCATGTTGATTGCCCATTGATTAAAATCCACTGTGAAGGAGATGGCGCGGTGGCGAGATGTTAACTACCTCGCCTGGTATAGAGGAGGTCGGGGGTACGATTCTGACCCTGACGCCTGCTGCTGTATATTTGGAGTTTGCATGTTCCCCCCGTGGTCGCGTGGATTTTTCTCCAGGCCCTCCGGTTTTTCCCTCCACGTTTAGAATCAAGACGCGTTCAGGGTATTTGACTGCTTTAAATTTTCAAGTGATAAACCACTTCGTTGGATAATCATTTGTGGCCTGGTCGCTTCTTAAAAAGAGCTATATTTGCTCAGTGGGTACACTACCTTGTAAAATAAAAAATACAAATTTTAGTTTGCCATTTACAGTTATTACACCTGCAGTATTAACCAGGGTGGCGGCCGCCGGGCCCTCGCATTCCGGCAACGAGCGGTAAACACGCCACGGCTGGGCCACACGCATCCCGTCGTCAACAACGCCAGTGCCTGTTCCCCGGCGAGTGCAGGCACCAGCCAGGCGGGGCAGCTGGTGAGCGTGGCCGGCCCCGCCAACTTTCCGTGCACAACCAAGGAGCCGCCGCTGCCGCCACCGCCCAGCTCTTCGCAGCATCCCCTGTCGCTCATGTCGCGGATGTCGCAGTTCGCGATGCCCAGCTCCACGCCGCTCTACCACGACGCCATCAAAACCATCGCGAGCTCCGAGGACGACCCCCCGGGGCCGGACCGATCGCCGGGTCTCCCGGCATTGCCGCCCCTCGCCGGTGAGTTAGGGGACTTGCCACCTCCGGAACATAATGTCAGGAGGAAGAAGATTATCTCGCGATATTATCGGACAGCAGAGGCGAGAAATACGTGTACATTTATTGTCTGGAGTTGTGTATTATTAATATTTTTATGCAACTGACAATAAAACGTAACTTTGATTGTCCCGAGAAGACATGCACCATTCCCCCAGGACGAGCTTCCGGCCAAAAAGAGGACGATCCTGGGAAAACCAGGAGGGGTGGCAGCGCTGCTGGTGGTGGCCTTATGTGTGCTGGGTGATAATCGATTGCTATGGGAAACCGTCTCCTGGAATATGATACTGAACAACGAGACAAAATAACGTTCTCCAGAAGATAAAGCCATCCTCCATAACTTTTGCTGAAAAACACAGGGGGAAAAAAAACTGCATTATAATACGGAGCATACGGGAGCAGCATGTGGTATAAATTATTGTTTTTCTTAATGTGTGTTTTGCTTGCAAAGGTCCCGGCCTGAACACAGGACACATGGGGCCTGGCAGGATTCCTTCCCAGAATACCTTGGGGCCAGGGGCAGCAGGAAGCCCCCTGGGGATGAGCCTGGCGGGGCAGCAGGCCCTCGCCCACGGGCCCGGCGGGGCAGCCATGCTGTCCGCTCACAGCCCGGCCGGAAGTGGGCCCATGAGCCTGGGCGGCCCAATGCATCACTCCGAGATTGGGCCAGGTACATTACCGTGCCGTCTGATGCATTGCCGCGTTGTCCACGATAATAATTGTATAATAATAATACTTGCACCTAAGTCTTGGAGGTGGCCTGACTACTGTGCAGCATTTTCAGGATCTGCTTGATACGCATCTTTGGCTTTAGCCTTGATGATATCTCATTCTTGATTTCTACTTTGCCAATAGCGTAAGGAAACATCACTTTTTTATGTTTAAGCCGAGGGGAACCCATGAATGGCAGCTTGATCCATCCATCCAGGAGTGTCAGATCCAGGTTCGGAGTTTGATGATCAGTGTATGTCAGCGCTTCCTCTTGGCACAAGCCGTCCCTTTAAGTGAGAAGAGGCATCATGCGCACATGCATAGCTTCCTTCTGCTATTTCCTATTCCACAATTCAATGGAAATCTTCTTCCGCTTGCATGTACCGGCAGCACAGGAGAGACACACTGAACCTTCAGCCAGTGCCTATTCCAATAAACATGTCCTAGATTTGTACACAAACCCATAACATGTTGTTGTGTAATCACATATATTAACAGACCTCTGTTTTTTGTCTCCACATATAATCAAAATATACAGTAAAACGTTGGATTGCGAGCATAATTCGTTCCGGAAACGTGATTGTAATCCAAAGCACTCGTATATCAGTTGTGATCACGTGACGCTCGGCAGACAAAGCGTATACGTACTACTCGTATTGCAAGACCTCGCTCGTTTATCAAATTTATATTTATTAAAAAAATGTGCTCGTCTTGCAAAACACTCGCAGACCAAGTTACTCACAATCCAAGGTTTTACTGTATTTTTTTTTATCCATCGGCCTATTGATTTCCAGTATAATCCAGCAGCAGTTGTTTAAGCGAGCAAACTTCTGGACCGGTTTTTGACATTCCGGGTCTGTCTGCAAGAAGCAGGACTTGTTAAACGAATTTTGCTGGCTTTCCAGATGTTCATTTCGAGAGCGCTCCATCTGAATTTGATCGCGCTTATCTGAGGAGTTCTGTTTGACTTCAGAAGCACGATGACCCATGTCAAGGATGTTACCCTTTTATCGGGTGCTCCACGCTAAGCCGAATGGTTGGTGCACGCTTTGAATGCAATGCACCGTCGGCAAAATTTATTTATTTATTGAGCGATCGCGCACAGATCATCGCTGTCGCCATCGTCATATGTCTGCGATGCTGCCGAGTAGAGCACTGTCTAGAATACGCGGTACTAACTTGGGGTGTGCTCATGATTTTCGGGTTAATCTGAAAAATGTCAAATAATTCTGCCTGAGATACTACCTTTTGGAGAATCCAGGAGGAAAAAAAACAAACAAACCCCAGTGAAATATTATTTATCGGATAGTGATCTGAAAATCCCGGAACAGATCCAAAGCTTTCCCTTAAATGCGAAGATCTGAAACGTTTCATCCTGAAACTCATCCCGAGTGCTGACCAGTACGTACAGAATTGTTTTGTATAATATCTCTCTACAATCTCTCTCCGCACCTCCGATTAGCACGGTTGGCTACGTACGGTGCAAAAAAAGTTCAACATACATACTGTTGGCTACGTACGGTGCGAAAGAATGTCAACATACATAGACGGAATTTGGTGATCTGATCTCCCGTTTGTAACAATGCACGCTATGAATTGACCTGACGGTTCTAAAATATTTTTGAGACTTGGAGTAGCTCTGGTGAATAAACATTCGTGATGTGCTTGTGCAAAATCGGCCAACAGTAAAATTTGCCCAAGCTATTGCGTGAAATCCACGGTCCACACAATAAAGAATTGGCTCGTCTTTCAGGGAATTCCGAAACGTGTGCGTTGGTACAAATCGGAAAGATCTTGAGCTCCTCTGTCGTGAACTTGATGCCCCGCTTGGTTAGGTCATCGGTTAAACCTACATCGTTTTCTTTGCTAACTCTGAACAATAATTTAGACTTGTGCAGCGCACCTCCCGTTGACGTGCGCACAGGGACATTGCCGTGTTTCCGTCAAGCGGCCGAGTTCCGTAATAGCCGCGCCGTTTTCACCGTCGAGGCTGACGACGCAATCGTCTCTGCTGCGATTGTGCCGCACGAGCAAGGGGAGGTGCATGTGGCAGGTTCACCGATAAGCGCTCTCGTGACACTTTTATCTACAGAAGGAGCGATGGCCACGCCACGCCGACAGAGCCACTGTCTCCCCCCGGTCCGCTGAGACGCGCAAGCTCGCAGAGGCACGCAGGCAGATATTTGATTTCGTTTCTTCAAGGTGTGCAGATTGGCCGTTAAGCAGGGGATGACAGCATCATGATGCAATTTCCATTGGCTCGAATGGCCGGCTGCTGTGCGTGGGCGTGCAGAACTGGTCGAAATGTGAGATATATTTTGCCGTATTCTGCGGGTTATATGAGACGCTTCGGAAAGTTGAAGACGCACTCCCCCAACGCTTGTGCCCGGTGTCAATAAGGTTAAACACACCTGGTCACACGCACACATCGAACGGATGATAAGACACCGCCCACAACTTTTGCATTTAAATACAATAAATAGGGCATCTTGATCTGGAGAATACAGTTATGTGCTTATTTAGGTATCCGCAAAAAAGGTGGTTTATGGTAATTAAGCTGCGCTTAAGCAGTCAGTTTGTATTGAGTTGGGTCATTGCAGTAATATATCAACCCCTATGACCCTTACTCATTTAAACGTTTGTTCTGTGTACAATTACAATCTTGAGCGAGCCACTATATTTATTTCAATATTTTTTTTTATATTTTACTAGGTAAAGCCCACTGAGCTATGTAGCTCTTTTTCAGAAGCGACCTGGCCACAAATGATAGCTCAACGAAGTGGCTTATCATCGTGTGGACATTGATAGCGGCCAAATACTCTAAACGCATCTTGATTCTAAATGTGGAGGGAAAAACCGGAGGACCCGGAGAAAAATCCACATGACCACGGTGAAGAGAGACATGCAAACTCCAAATATACAGGCATCGTCAGGGTTGGGATCGAACCCATGACCTCGTGTATACCAGGCGAAGTAGTTAACATCTCTCAGCCGTGGCACTTCGCTGACGACGTTCCGATCTCAAGGCCACGTCTCGCACCAGCGCTTGCGAACGTGTGAGCGTCTTGCGTGACTGGGACTAACGTCGCCGTTAAACCCTACCCAGCCCCACCACGTGTGTGTGTGTGTGTGCGTGTTAGAGCTTGCCAGGCGCTTGATTGGCATGCTCGCAAACTTGCACAGCCAAAGCTGCCCCCGCGGTTTTTTTTTTGTTCAACCGAAAACCGACACGAGTGCCGCCGGTGAAAGCGTGCGCGTCCGCGGAACGAACGATGGATCGCGTGGTCAACCCCGCTTGCGTGTGGCATGGCAGTGCCAGAGCGATCCGCCGGCCCGCGGCCAAAGGCAGCCGTTAATTTTGACCGTTTGTTGCCGTTCCAAAAGAATTGCCGCGTATCTTATCAACGCGGCATAGGAGAGAAAAGTAATGAAGAGTATATGCATTTGTGCAGCCAGCAAGCAGCTTGATCGTGTCAACAGGTTTAGAAGCCTCGGGTCAGAACTCAGAAAGTCAGTTTAAGGTGTATGCAATACATGGAGTCCGTTTCTGCATGTTAAAATTAAATTTCCTTTTTGGCTATCGATCTTTTGGCATTTTGAAACGGATATCCTGTCCGTCTGTTGCGTATTCAAAAGAGACTTCTCGCCCTGTTAATGATGTATTCGTAACCCATGCACCTCCAGCACGGCGCATTTTGAGCTTTTTGGATCCAACATCAGGCAGGTGATCATGAGCATGGCATTACATGCATGGCACCACACGCTCAGCAGGAAACATTCTTCTCTGCATACCTCTATGCCAGGGATGAGTATTGGAATCAAACATTTCTGATTACATTTTTATTGGGAAAATGTCTGAAATTTTCAGAATTGATGGGCGTTTACGTTATGCAATAGTTTCACGTGGTAACAAGTGACATTAACCAGGAATGCGACATTTGCCGGGAAGAGCGTGGACGTGACACTTTATAAGTGACGTCACTTCTTCTGACGTCATATTTTCAGATCATCAGAAACAATTTTTATCCACAATTTTACGTGTCTCGGCCTGATTTTTTTTTATTTTACAAATTTATCAAAATAATCTGGAACACGTCCCCTCCTCTACACCGTCATGTTATAAATGTTCTCCAGTGGTCTAGAGACAGTGCGCAAAAGGAGCTAACATCCTTTCAATGCTTTGACTATTTTCAGCAAAGTTTTTTTTCTCAAATCAATGTTTGTTTTAATGCCTGTGTCCCAGCTGGAGTTCCACTAACGGTACATTATTTGGCTCAGCCTATTTTCAAATACACAGATAATTTGTAAAACTAATTTATGAAGCCCTGCAGGGGCTAGACATCCTTCTAAATTAAATGAATGCATCACACAGTCAAATAGATGAGTATATTGTTCAATTCCTGTGTAAGCTCAACTTCAATTATTATGCTAAAAACAGCCAAATTGAATTCCTCCTCGAATGAGCATTAAAGCATTGGCGCTCATCTCCCGTTTACAGCCCTGAGCCAGTGGTGACAACTCCATCATCCTATGGCAGGGGCAAGTCTATCCATAGGACGACATCCACTGTTGACTTGCCCACGACCTGGGGGGATGATGGGCCGAGTCAAACCCCCACCCAGGATTTGAACTCGCATCATTCCGATCGTGAACCGCTGAGCCCACTGTCACTGCAACACTGCAATGACGACCATCACGATTATCGGGCAATTTCCATCCACTGCTGGCTCATCACGAAGCAGTACCGACGACTGCATTGCCGCCGCGGTCGTAATAATTCAAGCTCTCACATGCACACCTCTCCGTTCACTCTTCCGCTAAAGTGCAATCGCTGGCAATGTAAAACCTCTCCTACTTATCCGCATCCTCAGGGGTGTTACTGTCTATTTTCGGTCTCTTTACCATTACATCCCGTTTCCTGCTGAACAACACGCGAGCAGCAATTATTTAGAATCTAATTAGGAGGTGATACATCCACTCAGCTGGTAGAGACGCTAGGGGGAGAGAGAAAAAGAGTTGGAAATTTTAATTACTTGTTTAATAAGATGACGGTTAATTGGATTTTTTTTCCTCCTTTGCCAGTTTTAATGAAATTATTTTCCTGCAAACATAAGCCCCCATTACAAGTGTGTAAAAGAGATTGTCATGTTCCCCGCATTAGCTTTTAAACGTCGTTACGTCTCGTCACACCACCATACGCGCTCCCCCCGGTTGGGATAAATTAATAATGGAGCAGCCGCAGATGCTGATTGGAGGTCACTTTGGCGCTCAACGGATGGAGGTTTAGGAGACAGTTGCCTAGGAAGCATGTGGGAATACAAGATTTTCCCTGTGCCCATCTGAAATTCTAAGGGAGAGTCAATCTAGTGTTGCCTTACGTCTCGGTGGCGAGATGTTAAATGCCTCGCCCAGTGTACAGGAAGTCATAGGTTCGTTCCTGACCCTGACGCCTGCTGTATATTTGGAGTTTGCATGCTCTCTCTATGGTCATGTGGATTTTTCTCCAGATCCTCCGGCGTTTCCCTCCAATGTTTATAGGCATGCATTTGAAGTATTTGATAGCTCTACATTTCCACATGATAAGCCACTTCGTTGAACTATCATTTGTGGCCAGGTCGCTTCTGAAAAAGAGCTACATAGCTCAGTAGGCCTTACCTGGTAAAATAAAAAAAAATCGTTTAGTTCATAGTTTTAGTGCTCTACCACGTCCCATACAATGTGTCTTTCATATTTATTTGGATTTCACTTGTCCAGCACTTACAGAAAAGGCTGGACTGGGGGAGGGTATTGGGCGGGCGGTGGCGGGGGGGATAGTTTATGGTTTGGGTGCAATGTTTTTTTTTATCACGATCGCTGAACACAAAGATCAGCTGCTCTCAGCCAGTAACAAACAGCGTTCTTAAATTTTGATTTAAAGCTTTCGTGACTGCAGGGATTCATATTCTTGGTTCTTTCGGTAAAGTCACGTAGAAGGGAAACAATAAAATAATAAAAATATAAAACAATACAATTCTCACGACGTTTCGACTGCAACACAAGCAATCATCATCAGTAGTGAAAACCACAGCAAGAAAAGTTTTAAAAAGTGGCGTTTTTTTTTACGTTAAAAAGACCGCCACTTTTTTCAAATTTTCTTGTTATGGTTTTCACACCTAATGATTGCTTGTGTTGCAATCGAAACGTCGTGAGAATGTTATTGTTTTATTATTTTATTATTTTATTGTTTCCCTTCTACGTGACTTTAGCGTTCTTAAAGTAGTGAATACGCCACTGGTCTTAGGAGCATGGGGGCATTGGGGCCGAGCGATTGCAACCCCCACCCCTGAGACCCTGAATATATATTGGTATTTGTACTTTATTGATATTCACCAGAGGAAATACATTGCGCACGTTTTTAACGTAGGCCCCTACTTACAAAGCGTGACATTTCGAGAGCCGCGTTTTACGCACTCCTCCAATTGGTCACGACAACTTGGGAAAAGTGCCGACGGGAGTGAATTCCAAGGTCGAGTAGTGCGAGGGAAGAAGCGGACGAATACAACGTCGCGACCCTGCAGTCTCTCTCTGTGCGTGTGGTGGTCGAACACATTGGCCCATTTGGCGCAAAATGACGTCCTGGCTTGCTCGATTCTACGATACAACGCAATTGGATTCAGTTTAACACGTAGGCTTTCGCGACCAATATTATTCATAATCAACGTTTTTGGGTTTAGATCGCGTTATTTGTAAATGTGTCTTGGCCGTGCCGGGTGGTGGAGGGTTACGACACATTTATAAATAACGCGATCTAACCCAAAAAACGTTGATTACGAGCAATTGGATTCATATTTTCAGGGGGTTTAAATTCAACCGTATCTCAAGACGCCAAACACAATGGCAGGGTGTGCATCGCGGGCAAACAGCGTGCATATGCGTAATGAATTTTATTCTCTTGGATAATCGACTGTCAGTGTTGGGCAGAGAAGAGGAAGGTCTTCCCTCTCAGCATTATGTTGTACAGCTTACGTAGAGGCATTTGTAGATGCTGTATAAACTCACGTGGTGTTCCAACACTGTTGGAATCTATATCATCCGCTGTAGACTCTCTGGGAATAAACTGGCAAGGGAGCCTGTTACACTCTTAGCTTGTTTTTCCACACCTCACAGATTGTTCGGCCGATCTCAGCAGTTGTGATTTAGGAAATCCAAATGAGATGTTCTCTTGAGCTTAGAGTGGCAGGGGTATTGAAGGTCAGTGCTAACCTCCTGTTTACTTTGCTTTGACCCTCGTTCACCCGTTTGGCTGTTATTGGAAAATGTGTTTTGAATATATATTGTGCTTTTCACATATCCAGCACTTTTGGCCGGCCATCGAACAAAGGCGGTCACTTGCATCGCACGCTTTGAGATACGCTTCTGAGGCCGTCTGGAACGCTTGGCTACATACGGTGTGAAAGAAGCTCAAGATACATGCATACGTACATAGAATTGAACTCCAAGTGTTCCGTTCATGCGACGTGTGAATGGGAGTGGTAGACCCACTTCACTGTGTGGCTGTTTTCCCATGGAAATCCCCTTCCCGGATGTGTTGGGAGATGACCTGATGGTTCAAGGGGCTTCATGGCTGCCACCCAACTCGAATAGAATACCGGTAACAACAACCAGTAATGAACATCAAGTTTTGCTCCATTGAACGCTCAAAAAGCCATGAAATACGAGTTGGTTTTCCATTTAAACGTGGCTTTGTACCAGCTCTTAGGGCTGAACACATTTAACGAAGACTTATCCCTTTGAACAAATATCTGTAAAAATGTAGATATATTGTAGATACAACAGACAACGTTGCAGCAATGGTCCTTCACCAGCACAACTGTGAAGGTGGCGAATCATCCCCCCCCCCCCCCCCGTCCAGGTGACTTTGAGTGGTGTCACATAACAAGGTCACGTGACAAGGTCACGTAACAAGGTCACGTAACAAGGTCACGTAACAAGGTCACGTGACAAGGTCGTGCTTGCGCTGAACTCACCGAGCCCACCCCGCTGGGCGAAGGACTCGCCGACATCTGTGAAGAAGAGCTTTATAGCTCATCGGATTCCTCCAGTTTAAATACATATTTTGACTCTGACAATGCGGACACGTTTGTCCCTCTCGTCGCGTTTGCCTCCCCACTCCCCTCTCCTGTGTATCCCCACAGGATCCGCCTTGGCTGACGCCATGATGGCCGCCCGCCACCCCCAGTCTCTACCCCCCACTCGCCTGGGCCCCCCTCTGCACCACGGCCAGCCACCCACCGGGGCCAGCGGCCTGCACTCGCCGCATCCCCCACGCATCCCCATGGGGGGCGCTTTCCCCGGTCCCGGGGGGCCCGGACCTGGGGGACTGCCCTTTCCCAGCGAGGGCATGCCCGGTCCTCCGCCAGGCCCCAGCCTTTCCCCAGACATGATGGGCAGCAAGCACATGGGGCCGTCCACTGGTAAGAGACTGGGGGGATGGCGGTGGTGGTGGTGGGGGCACTTAGAGAGTGGGGGCAGCACTTTTTCATCGGTCTCTTTCCCGAGGCTAAACATATTAACCTTTTCCCCTTCCGATGATGTACGTGGACCAAAACAATTACGATGATGTATGTGTATGTCATCATATTTTTTGTCCGATTCTGTACTGATGATTTACGTGTACATATATGTTATTGGACCGGAACCCGGGGAAAAAATTAAATAACTTCATTGGTACCGAGGCTCCCCAACAACGCCATGCGGGAGGGCGCATGGCACAATTTGGCGCCAGCTATTGTAGAGTGCGGTCGTGTCGCTACAGTTCTCTGCTGTCAGGACAATGTCTTTAAAAACGGCAGCGCTACACCTCTCTAAATAAAATTAGCTCCGAGGCGCTTGCGTGTTCCGAGATTCGGCGGTGAACGGGACACCCACCATGTAACTTGCAGATGTCTCAGAACGGGAAAGGGTGAAAGGAAGACACAGCCCAAGAAACATGTTAATCAGGCCTAACGCTGCCCATGAGGCTCAGGAAGTAGAAACCGTTCTAGGGTTTGCTGCCTGCCTGAGGCTTTCTGGGAAACGTCCCACAAGGCACTTAGGCTGCTGATGGACTAAAGCGTGGTTCATTAATCCGTGAAGAGAAGTACGACTCTTGGAATGTCAATGAGTTTACGTGAAATTGTGCGCACCGTACACACACGTGTTGAAGTCACGAGGCACACGAGGGATCGTGAGTTTCACAGTGATCAATGAAGTATATCTTCAAGCAGTGATGGGACGCATCTTAGATGCTGGCGTCAAATGCAAATTAACCCTACAAGATGTTTTGCTGTGCACGTCATCAGCCTGGTGATTCCCGCTGCTGGACAAAGGCCTCTTCCATTTTCTTCTATTCCTTCCTAGCCATAGACTTTCATAGAGACCCGTAGACTCGCACAGAGGCCCATAGACTCAGACAGGGACCCATAGATTTACACAGAGGCCGATTTACTCGCACGGAGACCCATAGGCTTGCACAGAGACGCATGTACACACAGATACCGATAGACTCACACTGAGACCCATAGACCCGCACAGAGACCCACAGACTTATCTGATTGGTTATTGTCAGTATAACTTATCACGAACGGGTGAAGGGCTGTCCCATCTTCTTCCATTATCTCTCCCTGCTCGTGTCCGTTTGTGGCCTCAGAACTCATTGAGTGTAATCTCGCCACGATTGACGTTGGAATCTCACAATTGTGTGCGGGTCTTGTGCCGAGAAACTAAGTATGGCAGAGAGCAGGCGAATAACAGCTGTACTTTCGCCTGGAAAAAAAGTCGTTCGTGGGTTTCATCCTGAATCTGATGCCTGTATATTTGGAATTTCCATGTTCTCCCTGTAGATTTTTCTCCGGATCCTCCAGTTTTCCCCGCCACATGTAGAATCAACATGCGTTTAGAGTATTTGGCTGCTGGAAATTTCCACAAGATATGCCACTTCCCTGAGATATCATTTGTGGCCGGGTCGCTTCGGAAAAAGAGCTATTTCGCTCAGTCAGGCCTTACCTGGTAAAAAAAATAGTTTAGTTTCACATTGGTCCAGTAGTTCAGGAGGATAAGCTCTGGGCCAAGCACTGGGTTTCACACGATTCTTAGGCACTGACGAGCCAGTGGCTCGTTGTGGCCTGTTTACAACGCATATATGAGATACGTTCCCTAGCCATAGACTTGCATAGCGGTGGGGAATGGCAGCAGATAATCCGAACAGCTTTCAATACAGAACCATAGCCATGGTCACGTGCTCTGGGTGCTATATGCGTAGATGTACTTCAGCCACTCACCTGCTCTTATTGCTGCGTAATCATAATCATCATCAGCCATGGTCAATCGACTGCTGGATGAAGGCCTCCCACAACTGCCACCACCGCTCACGGTCCTGCAATATAATAACCCGACTGCCACGTGCACACGAACTGATTCCTTCGCTCCGTCTGTCCGGTGCACGTGCTCTGAGATGCGATCTACGCCTTGGCTGACTACGGAATGATTCTGATTATGATGAGAGCGAAGCTCCTCTTATCCCCGGTGATGTGCGTGGCTGCTATTGCCACAGTGGCGAGATGTTAACTACCTCGCCTGCTATACAGGAGGTCGTGGGTTCGATCCCGGCCCTGACCCCTGTAAATTTCGAGTTTTCATGTTCTCCCCGTGGTCACGTGGATCTTTCGCCGGGTCCTCCAGTTTTCCCCTCCACATTTCTAATTGACAAGCGTTGAGAGTATTTGGCTGCTAGATATTTCCACGTGATAAGCCACTTCGTTGATCTGTCATTTGTGGCCAGGTCACTTCTAAAAAAGAGCTATACAGCTCAGTGGGGCCTTACCCAGGTAAATACAACATAGTTTAGTTGTCCACTTTCGTCTATGGAAATGACCCCTGTTATGCGTGGATAAATGTGGATAAATAAGAATAATTTTACATCACTTTAGGAGTCACTCATCTCATCGGTGGACAGCTGCGGATAATAGAATGAATTTCTGCGCTCCTAGGAGACCAATTCCGACGGCTTCTTATCAGTGGAAAAGGACGGATTTCCAGAGGAAGCGATGGGCACGTTGCAGGATTTCCCGTCGATCCATTTGGAGGCATGTATGAAGGAAGGATGACATGGTTTAGAATGCATCGCGTCGTATACAAACCACTTGCACTTAAAGTTGCTTTGCGGCAGTTTGCTCCCGTCGCTGATTATTTTCGTCAGTTCAATGTTGGTGCCTATGTCCTGGGTAAAAGGCGCGGAGTGCAATTCAGACACCCGTTGTCCTGTGTTCATAGTGGATCAAATATTTGTTTTATTACAATTGCTCGTGTTACATGGTTTAGAATGCATCGCGTCGTATACAAACCACTTGCACTTAAAGTTGCTTTGCGGCAGTTTGCTCCCGTCGCTGATTATTTTCGTCAGTTCAATGTTGGTGCCTATGTCCTGGGTAAAAGGCGCGGAGTGCAATTCAGACACCCGTTGTCCTGTGTTCATAGTGGATCAAATATTTGTTTTATTACAATTGCTCGTGTTACATGGTTTAGAATGCATCGCGTCGTATACAAACCACTTGCACTTAAAGTTGCTTTGCGGCAGTTTGCTCCCGTCGCTGATTATTTTCGTCAGTTCAATGTTGGTGCCTATGTCCTGGGTAAAAGGCGCGGAGTGCAATTCAGACACCCGTTGTCCTGTGTTCATAGTGGATCAAATATTTGTTTTATTACAATTGCTCGTGTTACATGGTTTAGAATGCATCGCGTCGTATACAAACCACTTGCACTTAAAGTTGCTTTGCGGCAGTTTGCTCCCGTCGCTGATTATTTTCGTCAGTTCAATGTTGGTGCCTATGTCCTGGGTAAAAGGCGCGGAGTGCAATTCAGACACCCGTTGTCCTGTGTTCATAGTGGATCAAATATTTGTTTTATTACAATTGCTCGTGTTACATGGTTTAGAATGCATCGCGTCGTATACAAACCACTTGCACTTAAAGTTGCTTTGCGGCAGTTTGCTCCCGTCGCTGATTATTTTCGTCAGTTCAATGTTGGTGCCTATGTCCTGGGTAAAAGGCGCGGAGTGCAATTCAGACACCCGTTGTCCTGTGTTCATAGTGGATCAAATATTTGTTTTATTACAATTGCTCGTGTTACTGAGTGTGACGTGAACAGCGCCGTGTGACCAACAACTGGTAACTTAATCCAGTGAGCATTGTGGAAAGGATTAGAACTAACCTTTTATAGAGCCAGCCCTATCCTTTCAAAAGCACCGACGCAAACGAACGTTAAGTGCTGGAACGACACGATGGATAGTTTTGCCTTTTGGTTGTTGTTTAGATCACAGTTGTACATCATAGGCCCCAAAAAAAGCCCCAAAACGCCAAGCAGCCAGCAACAAATGGCACTATTAAAATCGTGAGAGGTAACAGTTATTTGCGTATTTTAAATTGAGTGAGGGACATGAGACCTTGGGGGAAAAAAGAGACTGTGGGGAGCGAATTCCGAAGTGGAGCAGTGCGATGGAAGAAGCAGAAAGAGAGGTGAGGAAACCTGCAGTGTGGTGAGTGGGTGGGTGGGTGGGTGAGTGAGTGGGTGGGTGGGTGGGTGAGTGAGTGGGTGGGTGGGTGGGTGAGTGAGTGGGTGGGTGGGTGGGTGAATGGGTGAGTGGGTGGGTGGGTGAGTGAGTGGGTGGGTGAGTGAGTGAGTGGGTGGGTGAGTGGGCGGGTGGGTGAGTGGGTGGGTGGGTGGGTGAGTATTTTGACCTCGTGGGAAGCTGTAGTGTAGTGGTTAATCCACTGCGCTACGAACCCGGCGACCTGAGTTCGATGCCCGCTCATGTCTAACACCACTGGCTTATCATCTGAACTGGTCCTGGGCCTCTCCTATGTCGACTCGGCCTCAAATGAGTACCTGTTGCAGTATGTAAATATCGCCACTGGGGAAACAAAGACGGCCGGGCGTGGTGCTGGCAACCCATGCCCTCGTGTGCCGTTCCGGCTATCATAGGTGCTTGCTAACAGCACTTGCCCCAGCAGCCTGCTAAGGCTATAGGGGGGGATCTTTGTCTTTGTTGTGACCTAGAGTATGGTGGTTGAACACGGTGTGGTGGAACAGCCAGTGACTGGTTGACCCCGAGGCCTCAACACGTGTGGAGGAATCAACGAGAAAAGTTCACGGGAAAAGTAACCGTGGTGGTAGCGATAGAGGAGTGATCAGGTGACTCTACCACGGTGAGTGCTGGCTCACCAATCAACCTGGCAGCTGTCCGTTATTCACAGCTGCAGATTTATTCATCACAGTTCACTGTGCAGTTGATTGGCCTTCCTCTCTTGTGAACGGCGATTGCCGTACGTATGTTGAGCTTCCTTTCCACCGTTTGTAGCCAACCTTGCTAATCGGAGGTGCGGGGGGTGCGGAGACTGCAAACTAAACTCAGCAGTTCTGACACAACGCTGCGTGGTGGCGCGCGAAGACGTGAACATCTGCGTGGCAAAGGCCGTGCGGAGTGCTGCTCAACCGTTGCCCATTACACAGCGCCCGGCCTGACTGAAGCCAGGCTGCACCTCTCAGAGATAATGAGGCCACGTGTCAAGGACTTCGGTCACGTGGAAGGAAGTCGCCGGAACGAGGTTAATTAGAAGGAAAGAATCTCGCGAGAGATTGCGGATGACGCGCGAGGCGGTAAACGCGGCGGTATTTAGAACATCTACGGCGGTTTGGACGGATTCAGCGTGCTGCTCGTGTGAGAGATGTCCTGACGTCAGATCCACCCCCCCACTTCCCCACCTGCGATACCCCTCCCTAACCCAACAGCTTGTGCGGTGTTTCTGGCAATGACATTCCTTTAGCAGAGCGTCGTCATGTGGTAATATAAATGTTGCAAGGGGAAAAAAAGGAGCGAGGAATAACTGGGAATTTATATTCCTGGTTCTTTCGGTAAAGTCACGTAGAAGGGAAACAATACAATTAAAATATAAAACAATAAAATTCTCACGACATTTCAAAATAAAAATTTAACTGGGAAGTTGTTAAATTTCCATTTAAAGCTTTCGTGACTGCAGGGATTCATATTCTTGGATCTTTCGGTAAAGTCACGTAGAACGTTCTACGTGACTTTACCGAACGATCCAAGAATATGGGAAGTCGTTGTTTTAATCTCGACGCTTTATTTAGTTGACTCCCCTTTATTCGGGAGAGCGGTAATCCGCTGCTGTGTGATGTGCTTTGTAATCTGCGGAATGAACGATGACCTGGATTTTTAAATTTGAGCACTTTCTGTTAAATGTGGTTTCAAACTTGTTCTTTTTTTAAAGTCTCGCTATGAAATATGCGATTGTACATTTTGAGTTAGTGGTGCGCCTCAGGCTGTGGGTCATTTGTGTTTGGCAACTCATTACAATTGCAATTTTCAAATAACGATGCAATGGAGTTAAGTGGCTGGGATGGCTCTGTTGGCTGACGCCAGCTCTGGGAGATTAAGTCCATGAGATCTTGGGCTTTAACCTTCGTTTACCATTCCCAGTAAAAGTAAAACAATATATATAACAACGTGCATACATGTCTTGAGTTTGATGGCAGTTCAATTTACCAGTCGATTGCAATGTTATTCTGAATTAATATTTGTGCTTCATTCAGTCATAAGCTGCTCATCTTCATCATCAGCCATGGTCAATCTACTGCTGGATGAAGGTCACCCCAAGCCGCCGCCAACTTTCACGATCCTGCGATGTAATAATACACCTAGCGCCCGCACACGAGCCGCTCTCTCGTCTCTCCCGTCTCCTCGGCGGACGAGCATCTCGGACGCGTTCCGTCACATTGTGACCGGCGGTCGTCGTCCCTTGTGGCCTTGACGCGTCCTGCCTGCTCTGGCGGTGCAAAACAAATCATCTCGGGGAACACAACAAGGGGAATCTTAAACTTGGGGAGAAATTTACATTTTTCAGAAATTGCATTTCACAGAGCAGGACCTTCACTGAGGGAGGTGTCTCCTGTTGTGATTTTTACGTTTCATTCTGAAGATGTTTGCAAACTTGTGGCTGAAAATAAGAGTTTAAAGATTTAGTTTTAAAATCTATATGAGATGCACCAATGGAATAAGACGGTGTGGGAATTCCTGTGCTGTCTGGGCCTTGGGCTGATTTTGATCAGAATGCTCTTTTCTACTATTTTAAGAGGTCTGACATCTAACGTCCAGAAGCACAGTTGATGGGTAAACACATTAACCTGTACTTTGTTATAATACTCGGTCGTGTTTGTTTGCCAACCTTAATCTGTGCATGCAATGGAGCCACTAGATTGCAGCATTGCTATAAGGTGCTGCAAAGACTGTGGTTATGTTGATGTCATACAGAGCATTATGAAAGGATGGCTGTTGCAAAAGCTCCAGAGCAATTACTGCTGAATGTCAAATTTGCGTAGTTGTGGTGGCGATTTCTATGTTAGGATCACAGAATAAAACGTCGCCGTTTTAATCTCACTGTTGATGAAAGCCATTCCGCTTTATATTGGATTAACATTTACATTCGCGACATTTATTGTATTTCAGATGGACTTTGTGCCTTGTGCATTTCACTATAAAACTCAGAACGGGAAAATTACAGTATTCAAAAAGAGCCAAAACACGGGTATAATTACCGCAATTTAAATGTACCACTTGCAAGTGAGGCAGCTATTTTTTCCTCCAAAGTAATTGAAATCTTAATTACAAATGGAGACAATGGAATAGCAATTGTCAGGCCAACCTTTAAAATATAATTGATGCCTTCTGTGGGTTTATGCTTTTAAATGGCAGTCTAATGTGTCCCCCCCCCCCCATGAAACAATGTCGTGCCGCCCCATTCCCCTTGATTACCGCACACGTGGCTTGCCTTGCCACCAGCCCAAGAGGATGGGGTGCCGCCGTGGCGAGATGTTAACTCCCGCGCCTGGTATACAGGAGGTCGTGGGTTCCATCCTGACCCCGACGCCTGCTGTATATTTTGAGTTTGCACGCTCTCCCCGTGGTCGCGTTGATTTCTCTCCGGGTCCTGTGGTTTTTTTCCCCCTCCACGTTTAGAATGGACGTGCGTTTAGTGTGTTTTGGCTGCTTGAGATTTCCACACCATAAGTCACTTGGTTGAGCTGTCATTTGTGGCCAGGTCGCTTCTGAAAAAGCGCTGTACAGATTGGTTTAGGTAGAATAAATTGACGTCGCATCAAACGAGTGGCTTCATTTACCCGAGTCTTAAAACACAAACGAGTCTCAATTAAATCTTCACTTAAAGCTTTCGTGACTGCAGGAATTCATATTCTTTGGGTCTTTCGGTAAAGTCACGTAGATAGAACAATACAATTATACAAATATAAATTAAAATATAGTGAATAAAATATAATCACATTTTTGTTTATTCCATTTATTTTCATTTTTATTATTTTATTCTATCTATGTGACTTTACCAAAATACCCCAAAAATATGAGTCTCAATTAACTCCTTGCCTCTGGTGTGTCGCAGTTGACCCAAAACTCGGGTAAGAATTACATGTAAAAATGTTTAATTTAATAGTCATTTAGCCTGTAACAATTTCGAGCAGTGGTCCACTTAATTACAGTGTCAATGAAACACAATGCCGTGCACACACTTGGCTGTTGAGTGCTGTTATCGTGAAGCCATGAAATTGCAATGCAGTTAATTTACCTGCACTTTCACTTGGCCAGGTGCTGGTGTTCAGCACTCGGCCAGAAAATAGGATGGGCACATCCTAGGCTCTGGCATCTACCTCTCATTAAAGCAACATGTGTTAAAAATGTGACGCATATACACACATAAATATGAAGTTAATACGTGCACAGATAATATTATTGTTCTAGAAATTAACGGAGCCGCTTTGCTGTCATGGAAATGTACCATGAGATGTGATGCCAAAGGTTTTTTTGTTTTTTTGGCATCATTAAATTCAGGGCCACATTTGGTCGATTGAGAACATTGTCAGTGTTTGCCGATGGAAGATGCAACCAAATTAATCCTGAGAGTTCGTTAAGCTTGTCGATGTGTACCTCGGCCGTCGGTCCCTAGCGCTAGGTGGTGACATCGTCCTACTGGTAATGCATTTGCCGCTTGCTACCAAGGTTTGCGGTTCAAGCCCAGGGCCTGCCCTCGTTAATACCGCCGGTGTCATTCACCTTAAAAGATTGGACGTTGATGCTCCCGTGACGTTCGCGAAGAGTAGGCCATTTGTGCCCATGTCATCATGGTCTACATTTTGCCAAATATTTATACATTAGAGTACTCACTAATGGCCTCATTAGGAAAAACCACGGAGCGGTATTGCCAGCCGCTGCTGAATTCACCTTGTGGCACACAGGGATAGCTGCCACTGGGGGGGGGTGGCTTCCTGGGCTAGACTGCCAAAGAGCGCCTCCAAATGCATTGTGTGGGGAGGCGCTGTGAAACTGCCAAGTGGTGATGATCTGACAACAGTAGGGAAGTGTTGTGAACCAGGGGGAAGAAAAATAATAATCGTTATTTCAATATCGATTTAAAGCTTTCGTGACTGCAGGGATTCATCTTCATGGTTCTTTCGGTAAAGTCACGTAGAAGGGAAGTAATAAAATAATAAAAATTAAACATAATAAAATACAATTCTCACGACGTTTCGGCCACAACGCAAGCAGCCGTCGTCAGGTGAAGAACAGGTCTGTCGGAAAGACAGCGTCGGAAAGACAGCTTGGTGGTGTTCATTCAGACGCTGTCTTTCCGACAGACCTGTTCTTCACCTGAGGACGGCTGCTTGCGTTGTGGCCGAAACGTCGTGAGAATTGTATTTTACAATGTTAAATTTTTATTATTTTATTATTTCTCTTTTACGTGACTTTACCGAAAGAACCAAGAAGATATAATTTCAATAGTTTATTCGTTCAGCTTATAAGTAAGATAATGTGACGATGGCCATTGTGATAATTAAAAAATATAATATATATTGTATTGTCTTGACAATTATGATTGCATTAGCGCAATTACAACGACAGCCGGTGTTGATTGACGTGGTTTATTGATCACCCTATGTGTTTGTGGTGATACCTGATCACTGTAGCGCATCAATGAATATAACAGGGGTAGCAATGCATTGTGCATATATTGTATTTGGATTTTTTTAACTTCTATGGGTGGTGTATTTCCTCTGGTAAATATCAAAGAAATCCACATTTTTAGGGTCTCAAGGTGGAAGAGAGGGTGAGGAGTGGGGGGCGAGGGGGGGGTGCATGCCCCCCACTTGCCATCCCCGTAGAACCCGTACGATTACAGCTCTCTGTGCGTATGTTCGACAGACGGGGGATTCAGCCCAGTGCTGCCTGGCATCTCCACCGTGCTCAGCGACCCCGACCTCCAGGACGTGATTCGTCCGGGCGCTTCGGGAATCCCGGAGTTCGACCTCTCCCGCATCATCCCTTCTGAGAAGCCCAGCCAGACCCTGCAGTACTTCCCTTCGGAATCCATGAAGCAACAGCAGCAGCAGCAGCAGGCCTCCTCACAGCAGCAGCAGCAGCAGCAACAGCAGCAACAGGGAGGAGGTTCCATCCCACCGACATCCGAGGGATTTTCTCTGCAGCACCAACCGTCGGTATTTGCCCAGGGCCAGCCAAACCCGGCGGGTTTCCCGGGCATGGTGCCGTCCGGAGCGGGCAGCGGCGGTGGTCCGGGCGAGCCGGGCATGCTGCGGCCGTCCATGAGCGTGCCCAACCTCTCGGGGAGGGGCGGCGGAGGCGGTCCCGTCAGGGGACAGCCCCCGCCGCCGTCGCCGCACGGGCTGCTGCACCCGAGCCAGATGCCCCCGCAGATGCACCACCACCACCACCACCACCCACCGCAGCAGCAGCAGCACGGAGTGCTGGGGGCACCGCAGCAGCAGCAGCAGCAGCACGGTGTGGTGGAACGGCTGCCTCTGCACCACCACCACCATCACCACCATCAGCACCAGCATCAGCAGCAGCACCATCACCACCACCACCACCCCGGCGTGCACCAGCACCACGGCGGTCCTATGATGGGGCCACCGCAGCAAGCGCAGCAGCAGCAGCACCACCACCACTTGCTGCCCATGATGATGGGACCTCCGCCAGGCAAGCAGAGGAGCCGGTCGGCGTCGGGAGAGGTGGTGCTGTTCGGGCCGCACGACGCGCTGCAGCCGATGGCGCCGATGCAGGGCCTCATGGCGCCGCCGCTGTCGGGGCAGCCGCACGGAGCTATGATGCTGCAGGCGGCGCAGTTCCGGCAGAGGAGCATGTCCGTGGACATGCCCATGGGCTTCAACAACGGGCCGGGCCACCCAGGAAACATGCCCATCTGAACTGCGTGCGTGCACACTGCAAGACGGATGGCAGCGGAAATAGCAGGGGGAGGAGGTGAAATGAGGAAATAAAATAGAAGGGAGGGAGAGAGAGAGAGAAAAAGCCAAGCGATAAATATTCAAGATTCGTGTTGGCGTCTCCTCGTGTTTACTTCAAAGGTCGTGTGTAATAGGCATTCGGTATCGTGTGGCTTGGCGCGCACGTACTCTTGGTGTATGCGCGTGTTTATACATTTGAGGTTGTATGTGGGAAGAACACTCAAGTACTTTTCGAGGGAAATCTTTATCCTCGTTGAACCGCTCCCGCGCAGGGCAGCCCTGGGCACCTTGAAGGCAGCAGCGGCCACCGTCATCGTCGGCGTCTTCGAGATCGTCGCCGCTTATTTTGTTGTTGTTGTTTTGATGATTTTCGTAGAAGACTCTTTGAAGAAGAATGCTTATTTTACGAGCGAGCGGGAGTGGTGTCGAGATCTTTCCCTCATTACAATTTACAAGAGATCGATTTTTTTCACCCTCTCTGCGTGGGGGGACGAGTTTTTGTGCACTTGGCGCGAAAGTACGCCCCGCTCTGCTTCGTGACCGCGGTGAATTTTCCGGTGTGCAGTTGCCAAGATGAACATTTTTAAAATGACATAACTTTTTTTCAAACAGTTATACCGCATTCACACCGAGAGTACTTTTTGACACTTAATTTGAGCGTAAACTGAAATGTGGATTAAAGGGAAACTTTTTTTTTGCCGTGTGGTTTTTTTTGCGTTTCATTATTTTTTTTTTCTCCCGAATGTTTTGCTGTAAATATGTTTCTCTGTTTGCAGGGGAAGCCAGGTAATGCACGGTGAACAAAAGTCTTTTTTTTAATTGTTGAACCACACGTAAGTACTTGTCCGAACCTCGTGCAAATGAATCGTCGTGTGTGTGTGTGCGTAGTGTGCCTGTGCTCATTAACGGTGAATCGTATTGCATTTTTAAGCACACGACTCATTCCACGCGTTGGATGTAACCGTGTCGACACGAGGGCCAATTTAATAATCACGACGACGACGACGACCTGTAAGAATTATTACGTGATGTTAAAACAGTTGTTGCAGTCCACAGTGCTGTTTCGTGTTGAAATGCACTTGAGAACTTGGGTTTACTTTTGAACGTTTGGCCTATAAGTTATTGCAAAGTCACTTCCTCTGCTCGCACGCTTTGCGTTGCTTAAGGTTGTGAAGGTGAAAAAGGGAAGCACAAAACATTGAATCGAGCGGCCGTGATATGTGCGCTAAATCATTGCCCTCCACCTCCTCCTCTGCATCTCGAGGCTCGTGTTTTGTTTTCTGTTTTACGGGCTCGTCTAATTATGATGCGATCTCGATACAAAGTTTAGTTAATGCAATGTTTTTTTTTTCTCGCTATTGAACATCATCGCATCTGGTGTGGTGTTTTAGCCTATGTTTGTGTGAGGATTATTACGGACGCCCGGCTGCTAACGTTACAAGATTAAGCAAAATACATTAGATGCAAGTACACCCGTTATTAAGAGCTTCGTGTTTTGATCTTCCAATTTTTCTGCTGTTTTTCCGTGAGCTCTCTCAATTGAAGCTTTCACAAGCATGTACTAAAACGGATATACTATAATAATATAACTTGTTCGGAATGTGTACACACTTTTCAATTGGGGTCAAGGAGATGTTGGGGATTTTTGTTTTGTTTGAAACGCGATTTGCAGATGGAAAGGTTGCGTGTATTATAATTTCAACGATTGCTCATTTGCGTCTGGATTAACCGATGCAGAAATGTCGTCGCCCCGGTATCGTGGTCATCGTAATTTGTAAATTGAGTTTGTGGCTTTTTGTTATTGTTTTTATACATTACTCGTATTGTAACAAATAATTGCACAGAATTCCTCTCCGTTTGTTTTTAAGCCATGGATGTGTTTATATTTAAGTGTGGTTAATTGCAGTCAAAATTAATGTTATTTACAAGGGTTTTGCTACCTCTGTCGTTGCTGGCTGGCTGTTGTGATGTTTGGGGGGGGGGGGGCGTTGCCAAACGGGCACTTTTTTAAACTTAGGGCAAAAAATAACGCCAGCAAAGCTTTATTCGTGTTGCTTAACAGTAAAACTTTCTATATTCTTAACCCCGTTTTGTCAGGTGTGACTTAAAACGGGGAATTATCCCTTTCAACAAATAACTTCCAAACAGTTTACCATCATTTGTTAAGTAGCGTATTCACTCGTCATTAATGTTCGAAACACCTTTAGGGCAGTGACTGCAAAAAAGAAACATCTTTACAAACTTAAAATAACACGATTTAGAATTTGCTTCGGCTGGGTTATGATGTTTATTTGCTGCATGAGTTTGTGTTTGTATGTTTGTGGTCTGCCCTCTTGCATTTAGTTGTTCCTTTCCCAACAAGTGACATTGTTTCCTTGGTTGTTGTGCGAGCATAGGGGGGGAGACACACGACCCCACTGTGGCTGATGAGATGATCCAGGGTGCGAAATGCGTCCCAGGTGCCACACAATGACCCCCACGTCTTGCATTTCTTGCAGCCCCTGAGGTGCAAGGATTCCCGTTCAACATTCATCACCACCGACGTTGAAACGTCACGTTCACGTCTGGAAATGTGACGCGCATCGGGCACCTGATGTTATTTTACAAAATTCACAAATTGACAAAAAAAAATTAACTATACAAACGGGCACTTTTTGTTGGTAAACTTACATAATAAATTATTTCATCTGTATGTCAGGATTACGAATCTGGAACGTGTACGCAGCACATTGAAATGCATCGGCATTTCCGATTCTGTCCTAACCCCGCACCTCCGATCAGCACGCTTGGCTACGTACGGCGCGAAAGAAGTTCAACGTACATGCAGCGATGTGTGTTTGTACTTCTGTTCGGGTCAAATGGGAACCACCTCGGTATGCTCCAGGATTGTTTCCATCCAAGTCGGTCTCTGACAGCATCTGGCTCCAGCCGCTACTGCAGTTACGGACAATGTACTTACTACAACTGGACATGCAAACTCAATCTTAACCTTGTGAACGTTGCTTCGTCAGTGCGGCAGATGGAGACTCCAAACAACTGGTAGAGATAACCCAACATGAAACATGATGAATACGACGATTGCTACTGGTGAAAATGTTGGTGCGTGTTTGAAGGTTTGGTCACATTGTCAAAATCTAAAAACAAATAGTTTGAAGAGCGCGTTGTTACCTTGTGCGTTCTTTTTAACCAAGGACTTAATTTTCGACTCGATCAATTCCGGAATGCTGCTAGGCCGACTTGGAGGAGATGCTTTTGACGTAAGGCACTTCCACTCGAGTACAGGGTATGCCTGTTCATAATTCTGAGTTCTACCCTATAATCCTATGATACTATGGACAGGTGTGTAGGGTTGTAGGGTACAATCAGGACAAATGAAAGTGAGATGGATGTGGCGTGCCAAAATAATTCCCGGAACAGTGTTCGAGACCATTCCAGCTGAAATTAAGCACTGATTAAACTCTCGCTACAAATACCATTTTGAGCAATGCAAGCTTCCAAAAAAGTACTGAGCTGAACATGTTATTATTACGGAATGGACACGCATGATATCTGTTGCGTACAATGAAGTTGTAAGATTTACCATTTGGCGTGACGCAATGCTTTGTCATCTGAAAAGGTTAATGTGTGATATTAAGGTTCTTCCAAGCCCTTTCATGGAATGTTGTCGCTGATAAAAAAAATGTGGTGTTACTGTTCGGAATTAATGACCCAAATGTTCTGTAAACAAAGCGTTCTGTTTAATTACATAACTAAATTGTTGACTTCCTGCAGATCTTAATTGGTTGGCACTTATGTAGGAAACTAATGACAACTTGGTTATATTATTCACTTCATCGAAGCTGTTTATTAATGGAGTATACACTTTTTTAAAAATAATTTCAATCAATACCCCTTAGGATTTCTGTTCGATGTTTTCGATATTTTAAAGTATGGCGCTTAATATAGATAGGTGTGTAACAAATTGCATCTACACGTTCTCTATGCGCTGTACACAAGTGGCTGTATGTAACATTGTATATTATTATGCCATTAGGTGTCCTAGAAAGACTATGTGTATATAGTGGTTATCCTTTCCGATGTTTGTGGGAGAAGGGTCTGTTTGCAGATCATTTTTCATTAATTAAACTTGACGACAATCAAGCAGTGACAGCACTCGTGTTTATACTGGTAGGAACCTCCTGGTTACACCAGCCCACAGGGGATTATTGTGTCCGTCCGTCCGGCGTACAGGGAGGGGCTGGGTGGGGAAGGGCTGGGTAGGGAGGGGCTGGGTGGGGAGGGGCTGGGTGGGGGAGGGGCTGGGTAGGGAGGGGCTGGGTGGGGCTGGGTGGGGAGGGGCTGGGTAGGGAGGGGCTGGGTGGGGGAGGGTGGGGAGGTGGAGGGTGGGGAGGGGCTGGGTTGGGAGGGGCTGGGTGGGGAGGGTGGGGCTGGGAGGGGTGGGGCTGGGTGGGGGTGGGAGGGGTGGGGCTGGGTGGGGAGGGGCTGGTCACCCCGTGGTGCCCTTATAAAACTCAACGTTTAACCTACTCACGCCGGCTTGTGCCCGCCCTCACAATTGGGCATATTTGCGGAATACACCACGCCGCCGTTGACCCTGGCCATTGACCGAGCAACCCAACGTTCCTACCAGCTCCCTCCGCAGGAATGTGTTTTGTTCTAAAAAAAATGTAGTTCGTTTTTGTTTAGCTTTAGATGTGTTGGAATTACCGCATAGCAATATTTATTTTCTCCCTATTAGAACCAAGCAGGTCGATGGCTTTGATGATGGAGTATTAGTCTCTAACACAACACGTGCCCACCGACATTACCTTCTCATGCAACTGCTGGTGGGAAGACGACCACAATGGACAGCACTGAAGAGCTCCTCTCGAAGAGGAGATTGTTTTTTTTGCCTACTCCTCCACGCTTGCCAGACGTCTTGGAAGAGGTGGGAGTTCCAACACTTTACCCCACCACTCACCACCTACCGATCAACTGTGGTGTCAGTGTGTGTCTATACTACTGCCGCACCAGGAGATGGAATGGAACCGGCGACCTCTAGATTGAGATGTGTTTTTTTGTTTACCAGGTAAGGAGGTCCACTGAGATACACAGCGCTTTTTAAGAATCGACCTGGCCACAAATGATAGCTCAACGAAGTGGCTTATCACGTGTAAATCTCTTAACAGTCAAATACTCTAAGGGCCTGTCGACTTTAAATGTGGAGGGAAAACCCAGAGGACCTGGAGAAAAATCCACGCCACCAGCGAGAGAGAACATGCACACGTCAAATTGACAGGCATCTTGATCGAGATCGAACTCACAACATCCTCCATACTAGGCGAGGCAGATAACGTCTCAATTCTAATGCGCTGAATATCACACACCGGCAGTATCCAGTCCCTCGTGTGTCAAGTTTTTTTTCTTCCCCCAAACACTGGTTCCTCTTGCTAAATAATACAGTACTCCGTAGGCATTGGCCATGGATCCCCAATAGGAATATGAAAGAGTCTTGAGGACACGCATGCTCCCCAGCATTCACCAACCTACGCTGGCTCGCGTGGTGAAGTATGGGCAAGTGGGGGGCCCCACATGGCTTTGGAGATGTTCTCATTTGGTAGGGTGGATAGGCTAAACTTGTAAATGTATACGATAATTTTTCGATTTAAAGCTTTCGTGACTGCAGAGATTAATCTTCTTGGTTTTTTCGGTAAAGTCACGTAGAAGGGAAGTAATAAAATAATAAAAATAAAACATAATAAAATAATTCTCACGACGTTTCGGCCACAACGCAAGCAGCCGTCCTCAGGACGACTGCTTGTGTTGTGGCCTCAGGGCGGCTGCTTGCGTTGTGGCCGAAACGTCGTGAGAATTATTTTATTATGTTTTATTTGTATTATTTTATTACTTCCCTTCTACTTGACTTTGCCGAAAGAATCCAAGAAAATGTATACGAGGTAAAACATTTTTTTTTGCTATTGTGCCAAATAGCAGAATATGAAAATAGCGAGCGCACAGAAAGCCAGATTGAGTACGCTTTTGTATACCCTCTGGGATCATTGATGCCCGGAGTTGAATGACGGGCCCGAGAGAAATAGCCCCAAGGAAGAACTCCCGATAACGTTCGTCTGCGTTAGTCCACGAGTTCCTGCCCTGGCATAACGAACGGTAAGGCACCAGTAATTCCACACAGCAATGCATTTTTTGCAGACCGAGTTAGGGGCCGTCCATAAATGACGTCACGCACCTAGGGGGGGCGGGGGGGTCAGACATTTGTGACGATGTGTGACGAGGGGGGGGGGGGTGTTGAGAAATGTGACGTCACCAAAATGCGCAATTTTAAATAAATATAGTCAACACGTTCGACTTAATTAAATAGACTTTTTTTTATAAATGTTTTCTCCAACATCAGTGCAGCGCCATTTTAAATACGCACTAGAATGACAATTGTTTAAAGAGATTTGAAGCATTATGAGATCTCCTTTACCAGTGTCAAAATATAGTAATAGGTTTTTACTCTTTTAACTGGTACAAAATCTGACACCTTTATACAAGGCATCATGTTTGCAATAACCTCAACACAAGAAGTTAAAATGCAAACAAAAAGAAACAACTCTGATGATAATGATATGCACTGTCCTTGAAGTTGATTGGTCCACACCCGAGACAGCTTTCTTTAGAGCCTAGTCTCACATGGTGTTGTACCAGATGACGCCAAAAGATTTGAAGCATGTTTTATTTTTTTTTTGGGGGGGGGGGGGGGGGGCACAGAGCTTTGTGACGTAATATTTGAGGGGGGGGGTCTGGCTTTTTGTGACGCCGTGTGACGAGGGGGGGGGTCAAAAATCGTCCATAATCGCGTGACGTCATTTATGGACGGCCCCTTACCTCATTAGCTCATCAAGTTTTTTTTTTTTTTAAGTGCGTTGACGGCATATCGACTCCGTAGCATCATGGCCCTCGTGTTAAAGGAGAGGACGCAACACCGACTCAGCGCGGAGGAGTGGAGGGGGGGTGCCACGACACAGTCAACGTGAAATACGCTCTCCGCGGTGGCTGGACGCGCGACAGAGCGAGCTGAGATGCGATCTGCTTGTTGTCCCCACCGTGTACTCGACTCGAGCTTCAACACCCCGCTCGTGGTGCGCACGAGGAGAGGCTGCTAAGCACCAGAGGTCGCAAACGGGTTTTGATTCCTTACCCGTACCCGGCCGCACCAGCGTCGAAAACGGGTACCCGTACCCGGCCGGGTAGGGTACGGGTATCGGGTACCTGATTGCGACCTCTGGGATGAAGCCATGTTGCAGGCGCGGGTGGGTTGGTTCTAGGAACTCGAATTGTGAGAAGAGACACAATACGTTGGGAAATGAGTGACAAACGGTTACTCACCAGTGACTCACGGTCTACCCGTACCCGGCCGCACCGGGGTCGCAAACGGGTACCCGTACCCTACCCGTACCCGGCCGGGTACGGGTATCGGGTACCTGATTGCGACCTCTGGGATGAAGCCATGTTGCAGGCGCGGGTGGGTTGATTCTAGGAACTTGAATTGTGAGAAGAGACAAGACGTTGGGAAATGAGTGACAAACAGTTACTCACCAGTGACTCACGGTCTACCCGTACCCGGCCGGGTACGGGTAGCCGGGTATCGGGTAGGGTATGGGTATCGGGTACCCGGTTGCGACCTCTGCTAAGCACGCCGCTTAATTGCAATAATTGCTACGTTTCGTCCAGCGCCCTGCAATGAACATCGCTTTACTTGATCAGAATTTAGAAGGAGACTGACTGGGGCTTCATCAGGAGGAGGAGGCGATCATCCCCCATCCCTGATTAGCACGGTTGGCTACGTACGGCGCGAAAGAAGTCCAGCATATTTAATACATACTCCATACCCCTCATCCCAGGACACTAGGGGGCCTGCAGCCATCACATTCACGGCGTTGTTGAACCTTTGCTCCGTCTGCTGGAATTAGCTGGGCACTTTCTGAGCATCTACGTGACTTTACCGAATGACCCAAGAATATGAATTCCTGCAGTCACGAAAGCTTTAAGTCAAGATTTTTCACAGTAAAAGTCGCGTTACACAGTACTGCGTCGCCAAGACGCTCCTTTGAGATATTTAAAAGCGAGCGGTAGCAACTTGTCATGAATTCAAGCCTCAGTGAGTTTGCATGCGCTTACGGGTTTGTGTGTGTGTGTGCCATAAAAGCCAGGCAGTAGCCCTCCAACAACAACGTAGGGCAGATGAGCGACGCTCACAACAACGAGCGGAGCGCCGGGCGACTAAAGCACAGCTAGTTGGCACATTAGGGGGGCACAGGTGGTGCATCGGCCACTCATCTCAGTCAGTCGACCCGTGGCACCTGCTGGGTCTGCCCCGTGACCTCCTGCCAGCGGGCGTTCGATACTTCACGTGGCCTCAACGTGCACCTAGCCTGGCACAAGCGCCGTGGGGACGTCACCGCCACTTAGTGGCGGTCGTTGTTGTTGTTGTGTGACGGGTGGGTAGCGGTCAGCGCGCCGCGCTACGAACCGGTGACAATTATCTGAACCGGTCCTGGGCCTCCTCCCCTAGGTCGACTCAGCCTCAAATGATTACCTGGCGCGGTGTGGAGTAAACATCGCCACGCAGTTTACAGATGACTGCGCCATGGTCCCCACGCACAGATATTCCTGAACGCCGACCAGGGCTGTTACAGACGCACTCAACACACCGCACCGATATCAACGAGACTGTTCTGTACACAGGATCATGTTGTACGGGTTCTCATTTATTTTTTTATAAATATCAGCATTTGTTTGTTCACGATTTAGAACAGCGGATGCGCGTGTACCCCCCCTCCCCCATCCCTGTGGTGGCGATGCTGGAGCTAGAGAATGCCGCGTTTCTTCTTTGTCTGCATTCTATGACAGCGCTTTATCCCACAGTTTGCACTTTTGGACACTTTCACACCGAACTGTAATTTTGTTTAAAATTTTCATCGAAAATATTTAAATTTGTAAAAGTAGGTCGCTTTGTACCCAAAATCGGATAAATATATCGGGAACATCTTCCCCCCCCCCCCCCCATCTTCCCCAAAGCGCACTCAAAAAAATACCATGAGTCCCCCCCCCCCACCTCTTGGGTTGCAGCAACCAATTTGCTGAGACGCGTC